CTGACGGACTTCCAGCTTGGGGGCCATCTGCGATGGAATTGACGATGGCGCGAGTATCACGCGCTGTACCTCTCTGGAGGACTGAAGAGGATGAGTCGGATGTTTGCAGCGATGATGGCGCTCCCGAGGAAGCTGAGGACCCAGCGCTTATAGCAGTACTTAGTGTTCTTGAGCGGGCTGAAGTGGAAGGTGACGATGACGATGTGTTTCTTTAGATTTCACATTTTGTATCTACCGATGTATTCATCTACTGTTTGAGGAAGGATTTAGCACGCGTGAAGGCTGCTGAACGGATTGCGCACCTAGCTTAACGCACCAACGCGCGGTGGGCGGAAGAGGGACTGGGTCGGGGAGGAGGCGGGGAGGATGTCCCGAATAGGAAGGTGCAAATTGGAGAGAGGGAGAGGTGACGATTTCCCACGGTAACGGTCACAGAGGTCGAGCCCCGCTGGGGGTGAGTGATTCGGCCGACTCGGCCGATCAGGTGCGTGATCCGACTCGGGTATGCCCGTGGGCCGAGCCGGGAAGCACGTGGGCGTGCCCGCAGACCCTGGAGGCAAACGCGCGGGTTATACCCACTGATGGTGGGCTTAACCAAGTGCATGACCTGAAAATACCTGGCTGATGGGTCTGCCCAGCCTATTTAGGAAGGTTTGCGCGGGTATGACCACCCCAATTGGGCGCATCCACGTGCACTGATGGGCCTACCCGGACGCGTCTTTGTGCGACGCGTGTGGGTCAGCCCACAACCGCCCCGGGCTGGCCCATGTCCTTTTTGGGAAAGACCTCGGGTATATCCAAGCCGAGTGATGGCCTTGCCCAAACCAGGCCTGATGAAGCCCCTTGGGTTGACCCAAATCACGTTCCGCGAGCGCGTCCGGGTATACCCAGCAACCATGGGGACGACCCAAGTTGAACATGCCGGCCGGCAGAGTCATATACCGGCCGGCATCATCGGCCATGTCAGATATAACGGTGATATGTTGATTTCAGCACAGTAATAGCCAGACGACCTATGTAGCATGAGTATATATAGATAATACATATTATAGGAACGTTCTAGCAGCAAGCTTAAGGAGCATGGGCGGAAGGCCAAACCAGCAGAGCACAATATGCTTATTTTGTAGCAGGGGTGGAAGGGCGTCAAGTGACGATCAAAGCACCGACCTATAATCGTTCCGTGGCCCAGTCGGCTTCCCTCTTACCTCCCTTTCACCGGTTCAATTCCAGCACCTGTCTTTTTTTCCAGTACAAGTCTTGCCCCCCCACCCCCTCTGGTTCAACTCTCGGAAGGGTCATTTTTTTGCCCACCACCACCTTTTCTTTTATCTATAGCCTATATAGGTACCCAATTGTCTAGATACTTTCCATACAGCCACGCCAGCTGAAAAAAAATATAATCCAAGCACCTGCCCCCTACCTGAACTATGAAATGTATTTTCCCATCACCCAAGTATCATAATATATTACTTGGAACATGTCTAAGTGTCCCAGCATTTTTTATATATTTTCTAGGCTGCTATATAGGCTGTAATAAATTAAATACAAATACCCACACCCATGGGTCAACCCACACCAAAAAGGGCTAATGTGATGTGACAGACCATGGGCAAGCCCACAATCTGGGTAGACCCATACCCAGTGGAGTAACCCCATGGGAGGACCCCCTCATAGGCTTGGGGAGAGGGGGGGTTCTTTAACCCTAACAGAGATCAGGGGGGGGGTAGCCTGAGGTGTTCTGCCTGCAGTATGTAGTGCTACAACGGGCTGGAGAAGGTGCGGAGCACATTGTTAGTATATCTAAATGTCTCCAAATTCAATCCCGTCTTCAGTACAACCCTCTTCCAAGCTATTGATTCATGCCCCACACAAGATGTCAACACAGGTCTTATACCTGATTATGACCTCAAAAATCCATATCTGCAATGTGAGGGTGCTATAAGTAGTGCTGGCCAGAATTATATATTATGATTGATTAAATATTGAATATGTTCAGAATATTATAAATATATTATGCCCTTGGTTGATCACTTGAATATGATTATGTTTGAATATAAATATATTATGTTATGTTATAACTATACAATATTATAGGAACAGAATTTTGAACTATAGTGAGGTAGAGGATCACAGTGTCAGACTGCGGGTCGGGCCGTGCAAGGACCTCTCCTAAGAACACGCGCCCGGAACAGAACAGACGGATAGTCAGGCCTACAGGTACGGCGGGGCGGGGTAGATCGAAACCGAAAGGGCCTGTGAACTCGGTCCCTTGTCGTTGTCGGTGGTTGAAGGTTCGAATCGGGTCGTGTTGGGCCCGATGAGTCGATAACGCCTCCTTGCACAGAGTAAGGTGGTTCTTTAGACGATCTAAGCGATAGAGTACAGGGTACACTATCGCGCCTTATATACGCAGGCCCGCAAAGGGGTGATCGGACACCCTGGCCTCTCCTCCTCCTCCTCGCTCCCGTTCCTGGCTGCAGAGGGGACAATCGTACATCCCTTGCGGGCCAGGCGCTACTCCTAACCTCCTAGCACTCCTCCCTAGTCCCCTTGTGTCGAGTTGGGCTCGGCGACGGCTCGACGTGTCGTTCTCGGTCATGTGCTTCCCACGTGTGCGTTCCTCCTACTGGGGCGCATGTTCCCCGTCGTCACGTGCTGCGTGTTACGGGCCCGCAATGGCCCGACACCAGCGCCGGAGCGGACGGGCCGGGTCTTCTCCGTGACACACAGCTATTTTTCTCAGGCTATGTACTCACAAGTTATTGCTGATATATTGATATAAAAATATTACAGGCATGGAAATCTGGTTAATTTATATGTTGATTATCCAAGCTGCCTGTGTCAACATTTCCTTTTTATGTAATCTGCAGCAAATACGAGCGCTGTGTATAGGAGCCGATGAGGAGAAGGCTTATACAGGGTGCAACAGTGGGAAATACTACGACTTGAGCGGGCTAAGGAACACATGTGTTTCTTTCCCTTCTCCCCTGCTTCCTCTACCTCACTACATTTCAAAATCAGCAACAGCTGGTGGGTCCAAGACTGTTGAGGGCACCATATTTGACCCTGTTTGGCTAGGGACAGGGTACACTACCAAGCAGCGAGGAAGAAGATAACCAATGGCATTATCAGAGCGAAGGCAGGCGCGGGCAGTCGTGAATTATACAAAAGTGAGTTGCTTTGAAATCCAAGTAATAGGTGCCATATCATGATATTAACAATGCTGTTGTCTAGCACGTTGCCCAGCCGCTTGCAGAGACTATGGCAGTCAAAGTGGGGAAGTAATAAATTTCCACACACTTTGTGATAATTCGAGTTTTCCACAACATTTTGAAGAAAAAACTATTTTCTGCAACTTTCTTTTCTGAATTGAACAGAAAGCTGCGGATCACAGCTATTCCCAAAATTTGCGAAATATTTTGAGAGTGCATAATTTCCGCAACTTTTAAGTTGCCATCATCAAGGACCAGCCGCTCGTGCACACCTTCCAAACCCTCCAACCGAATGTCAAAGTACACTCACCAGACACCTTGGCTCGGGACATCAAGATTATCTTCGAGCACACACGCCCCGAACTCAAACGCCTGCTGCTAGTATGTTGTTCAATCACATGTCGGCACCAGTGCTGACATTGAGCAGAGGATTCCTGGTGTTTTTCACGCGATGCTCGACGGATGGACCTCATCCAATGTGTGGCCTACGACTTCCTCGGCGCCCCGGCAACATCCGTTGATGTGGAGCGGGCATTTTCATTTGGAGGTGGGATGGTCACCAAGCGGCAGCATGGCTTGGGCGCGGAAAGCATTCGTATGAATGCCTGTGTTGCGGCATGGTATAATGCGGGCCTGATCCCCGAATCTAGTGTAAGCAAGACACTTGGGTCTCGCAACTCGAGAAAGCCTGAGACGGTTGAGGTCTCAGATGAGGACAGTGCCTGAAGTGTAACTTTCCGTAGATTTGGTTGAATAAAGATTACATTGTGCACCTTACTTGGGCTTAATAGCAGTACCAACTCACAGGTCTTACCTGCGAATACCTTGCAGGTACCTTGCAATACCTGCGGACAGGTATACCTCCGGGTATTTGAATACCTTACCTGCAGATACAGGTATCTATAGCCTCAAGGTTGGTGGGAGTGAAGGTATGAATTTCAAAGGGTCAGAAAACTCGCAGGTGAGTACAAGTACCTTACCCGCACCACTCGTGCAGCGCTTTATCCTGGGGCCTGACGCCCATCCGATCCCTCCCTAACATTGTAGTGTATAAAAACTGTACTTACAGGATGTAGTCGCTAGGCTAATATTGTCTATTCTCCAGGCGAACACCCATCTCTCGAGCTCCTCAGACCCTCTCGAAGTCGGACCTCCAACACCCCAATACGGCTCGAGCCCAATGCTGACATCAGGCCCCTCGGAGAAGTTCTGTCATTGGTATCCCTACAAGCTCAACCCCCCTCCACCCTACTCAAAGCTCCACCCGGTCTTCCCCGTGGTTCAATATTAGTGAATACAAAACCTTCTACATCCTGACTTGTGGCTTCTAGAGTGAGCAAAAAATAATTATAAAAGATAAAGTCTACTACCTCCAAGCCTAGATAATAAAACTGAAAGATCTGTTTTCTTTTTTGATCCCAAGTTATGTGTTGGTCAATTATCTCAGGGACAAAGGTTGCCAAAAGGCAAGACAGCAGAGGAAAATATTCAGAGATAAAGATTGTAATGAAATTTGAAACAAACTGCTCTGAGAATCTCTTATGATCAAGCATCAACTAATAAATTTTGTGATCAGCGGTAGTTGCTTGCACCACTTTGGTTCCAGCTGAGCCGAAAGGAAGAGGTCTTGGCCTTTTCCCTCGGCCGACGTAGGAACGGTCGGCCGATCTCCCGCGCAACCCGACTTGGCCCGATCACCATCGCATCGCTGAGTCAGCGTGACTCGCCTCGTTTCCTCCGCACAGCAGCAGCAAGCCAGCCCTCCTTCCCGCATACCTACCAACCGCACCCAGCTATCGAACAATGACCAGCACAGCGCCGCCGAGCCCCTTCCGGCGCCGCGCGATCGGGCGGGCGTCCTCGCCGCCGACGTGGGCGTGCTACGAGCAGATCCGGGAGTATGCGGACAGCGACAGCGACGACGAGGGGAGCGAGAGCGGGAGCGATGAGGAGGAGAGCGGGGGGAGCGATGGGGAGAATGGTGGGGACGTCGTCGACGACGTCCATCACGATGACGAGGGGATGGCAGCTGAAATGGAGATGGAGGTCGACCCTGAGGCGCCGTCGTCGCCGGTCCCCGCGGCGGCAGAAGCTGAGGCCGAGGCTGCAGAGATGCCCCCGCCGACGCCCGCGCCTGTGACGGCCAAGGCGAAAGGCAAGCAGCGGGCGGTGGAGCCCGAGCCCCCGAAGCGGCGCACCCGCAAGGGCAAGCGCGAGCGCGAGAGGGTCTATACGCTCCGCCCCATCCTCACCATCCAGCGCAGCCAGGGATTCGTGTGGAACCAGGTGCGCATTCGCTTCTTCTTTTCTGACTCACGCTGACGGGTAACAGGATCTGTTTGTCCCGCCCTACATCAAGGACCGCTGTATGTCTCCAGCTCTCTTTATTTCGCTGCTTATGACAGTATAGACGTCGCATCGACATCGCCCCCCGGGAACGGCTTCCTCTCCACCTCCGTCTCCTCAACCAACTCTGCGCTGACCGACTACGAGATCGAGGTCGTCGAGATCCGCGTCCAAGAGGGCGAGTTTGACGGAATCATCCCCCAATAGAACTGCCTCCACTATTTGCATACTCTTTTCTCTTCTCTCTCTTTGTGATATCCCCACCCCCGCTGGCTACCCCCAAACTCATCCGGACTTGACTACAAACAAACTCTAAACGCTAACGCCTCATATGTACATATAAATATGCGCTTCTCCCTCGTCGCTCTTCGCGTTGCCCTCTTCGTGTATTATAATAATAACTGCTGTGTATCCCCAACTTAGCTTGCTGTGGTTTCCGAGGGCTGTGGGGGGCCTGATGGTCTTGATGTCCTACGTGGCGCCTTTCTCCAGCATTCTGCTCGGCACAAGTACGCTTGGGCACAGCCTCATGCTTCTTTCCTTTCAGCATCCTTTCCGTGACTCACGTTGGGCTTTGAACCGAGCCACACGGATGAGCGTTGGCAAGACCCCGGTTTTGCATGACTCGAAGGTGTTCTGCAGGTACCGCGATTGTCGGCACCGCCTAGTATTGAGAGGCACTACAAAAGGGCGGTGTGTCGAAATAGGGCCTGGTAACACCTTCTGACGAAAACAATGCACCTGAAGCAGCTCTTCTTTCTCGGAAGCCTCACACTCGCGTCCCCGTCCCCCACAATCGACCTCGGATACGCGAAATACCGCGGCGCCGTCGACCCGCACACGAACATCACGTCCTTCTTGGGCGTGCGGTACGCTGCGGCGCCGACCGGTGAGCTCCATTCTACTGCACCCTCGGGAGTCTGCTGACGATGTAGGTGCTGCCCGGTTCCGCGCGCCGAGACCGCCGGAGACGGCCCGCGGCGTGCAGGATGCGACAAAGCAGCCCGCACAGTGCTGGCAGGTCGACACCGTCGGGACGCTGACGACGAATCCCCTGCGTGGCGTGCCCATGGCGCGGGCCGAGCAACAACATGTGATACGACAGCGCGAAGTGAGCAACGTGTCGAGCGAGGACTGTCTCTTCCTCAGGTGTGTCCGCTGCCCTCCTCGTTTTGTCGCCTTGACTAATGCACGCAGCGTGTACTACCCAGGCCGGGACACGCCGCCACGCGCCGGCCCGCTGCCGGTCGTCGTCTGGATCCACGGCGGCGGGTACTACCTCGGGTCATCGAGCCAGTTCCGCGGGAGCGACCTAATAAAGGCGGCGGGCGAGGACATCGTCGTCGTCATCATCCAGTATCGCCTCGCGCTCTTTGGCTTCCTCGCGGGCAGGGAAGTCGGCGCCGGGGGCGACCTGAATGCCGGGCTGCGTGCGTCCGTTTTGCGTCTTCCCATTTTGTGTTCTTAGAGGGAATTGCAGTCGACCAGCAGTTTGCGCTGCGCTGGGTGCAGAAACACGTCAGTCGCCGGCACCACACCCTTCTTTTCTTTCGTTGATGCTTTTAGATATCGAAATTTGGCGGCGACCCGGCACGGGTGACGATATTCGGCGAATCTGCGGGCGGCGGCTCGGTCGTGCAACATATCGTCGCCGACGGAGGCAACACGAGCCCGCCGTTGTTCAACGCCGCTATTTCCAGCTCGCCCTTCATGATCTCGCAGTATAGATACAATGAGCGAGTTCCACAGGTGGGCCAGCTTTCTGTACTTCTCGGTTGCTGATATATTGTCGTAGTCTGTGTATAATGCCGTCGTCGCACGAACAGGGTAAGCCTTTTGTGTTTTGTGAAGCAGAACTGATGATGAAACAGATGTGCTATGGCTAAAGATTCATTGGGTTGCCTGCGCGAGCTTCCAGCGGAAGCACTTCAAGAGGCCAATGTCTATCTCAGTGCCAACACCTTCCTCGGCACCTACGCCTTTACCCCGGTCACTGGCGGCTCTCTGATCCGCGAAAATCCCATGGCGGCATTGAAGAACGGTCGCATCAACGGGGTACGTCCATCGCAGCTGGCGATCCGGCTGAGTTCTGACTGTGGGACGCATAGCGCTCGACGCTGGTGTTGGCAAACTCGCACGAAGGGCGGATCTTCGTTAACACCAGCCTGCCCGTCGCAAGAAGCGTCTCCGCGTATGCGCTCGAGCTGTACCCGAATTTGCCTGGGGAGTACATCCCCCAGATGGAGGAGGTTTATCGCGACGTTGGGTCGACGGCGGACAAGATCATAGCGCTCTACGGGGATAGTGAGTCTTGCCTTGCTCTCTCTCTTTGCCGTTCAACGCGTTTCATAGCGGTCTTCGACTGCCCAGCCTACGCTCTCCTGAACGCCGTCTCCCAAGCGGCCAACACCAAAAATGCCACATCCGCGGCGTACAAAGCCGCCCTCGCGATCCCCCCGGCGAACCACGGCGGCGACCTGCAGTACTACTTCCCGTCGCTCGCGATCGACGTGCCCGTGCTGGCCTACCCCGAGTTCTTCGCCGACGCGCGCTTCGTGCACGCGCTCGCGGGCGCGCTGCTCGCGTTTGCGGCGCGCGGCGACCCGAATGACGTCACCGACACGATCGCGCCGCGGTGGGCGCCGTGGGGCGCGGGAAGGACGGAGATGGTGTTTAACCGCGACGGCGGGAAGCCGGACGTGCGGCCAGGCAGGACTGATGGGCGCGTGTTGGAGCGGTGTCGGTGCGTGTTTTGTTTTGTTTTGGGCTGGGAGCTGGGAGCTGATCGGGAGGCAGGTTTTGGGATGGGATTGGGGAGTTTATCGGACACTGAGGTGTCCGGGATATGCTAGTAGTGCAGAGATTTGGGCTTGGACTGCCATTCAGCGCTTGTCATATCATGTACTTATTGCACTGGCAGAGGCGCCGGCTGGTGCTGTAGAAGAGGGTCAATGCAGTCACGGTGGTCCACAGTGCCAGCCCAACAGAGTACCAAGTAGTCTCAGTCTCAAGGTCTTCGTCCGCAGGGCAAAGACGGCCCTCCTAAGTCAGGCTGCAGAGCCGCTACGTCCAGCACAGTGCGTCCCGCAATCGGCCTCCCTCGATCGCAACCGGTGTGAAATAGCCAAGCAACGGAGACAGGGACTGCAGCCCCTCCGGATGGCATAAATGATCTTCGTGTTTCATCCATTAACCGATGAACACATAACTTAGGGGTGATAACACCCCTGGGGCGATCACACCCCTTGCCCTGCCCTTTGAGGCTATATAATATATAACAGAGACATGACCAAACCCGAAGAGGCGGCCCTCCTGTTTTTTTTTTTCTCATTCTGTTTGGTTCACTAAACAGACATGTAAGCTCAAAGACCAGACCCTTGTGCCAGAGGACCAACACTTCATTGTCAAGAAGCAGCTACACTGTCACAGTTCGGGTCGGGCCGTTCGGGGCCGATCAGGCCCGCGCAGGCCCGCACAACTGCCATACTCCTCAACGCTCTCCTATTCTTCTAACCCCTTCCCTTCACCCCTGCGGGCCCTATGCAGCACCCATCCCATCCGCCCTGGGACCTAGCGCCTATCCGATCCATCCCTAATATCTGAGCGTATAAAAAACCGTACTTACAGGATGTAGTCGCTAGGCTAATATCATCTATTCTCCGGGCTTAAAACCCATCTTCGTGCTCCTCAGACCTACTCGCAGTTGGACCACCCAATGACCCGATACGGCCCGAGCCCAACGCTGACACACTCGTGGCGATAGGTATGTACTCAATAGTGATGGCAAGGGAAGCAGATACTGAGTACATATGCTACACTTGTGTTCTGGGGAGAGGCGTTTTTTGGGGGATGTGGAATGTATAGTGGGGAGAATGGGGTGGGAAAGTTAGCAAGTGAGGAGAGGAAGACAATTTCAAAGCATGGTGGACAGTGAGAAAAGGGTGCGTACAAATCGTTGTGGTCAGAAGAGCATGTTTACAAATTTGAAGAGTAGGAAAAAGAAAAAGAAAAAGTAAAGTAAAGATGGGAGTGGTTTAGACTCGGTGCATTGTCCAGCGAAGCATTGGAAAAGAATCTTGAATCCATGCACAGATCACTGGCGAAAAAGTGTCCGCAAGCGGCCGGGCAATGTGCTAGACAACAGCATTGTTAATATCATAATATGATGCCTATTACTCGGATTTCGGAGTAACTCACTTTTATGTAATTCATAACTGCCTATGCCCGCCTTGGCTCTGATAATGCCATTGCTTATCTTCCTCCTCACTGCTTGGTGGTGTACCCTGTCCCTGGCCAAACAGGGTCAAATATGGCGCCCTCAACAGTCTTGGATCCACCAGCTGTTGCTGATGCTGACCATGAGCAGTATTCCAAACTCCAACAGGCCGGATAGGCATATCATGACTTGACCCTTGCTGGAACTCCTGCGGGGTCCAGGAACGAGAATGCGCAAGCGTTCTGTGAGTCTGCTGGTAACCAGCGGGGTACATGTTTGATTGAGAGGGTAGAGGATTGGAAGGTGGTGCAAAAAGATTCACTGGGGCTGGTTGATGGTATTGGCGAGGGTAAAGAGGTTCTTGTGATGGTGTGCCAAAACCGTCACTAGAACGAGAGCTCTGGCTACTGGGAGACGGTGTTGGAGAAGGAGAAGGCTCTTGTTTAATCTGAGTGACGGTATTGATGTGGAGGTGGTTGCTGTGCTCAGCTTGGTATTGTGCTAATGACTTCTGGATATATACTGGTGGGTGGGAAAGTTCCTGGTGGCGCTGGTATTGCTGCTGCTCATACTGCTGCTGCTTATATTGACTCTCACTTGCAGATTTAACATCTGTCTTGCCTGCTTTGATCTTATCATCAGAATCATCCTCTGAATCCCCAGGGTGGTGTTTACGATGCCGCTTGGTTCCTTCTCCTCTCGAATAGTCCAGGGTCCAGTAGCTTCCCTTGCCAGATACCTGGAGTGGCCTGTCAAGTTGTTGAAAAACTAGGCGTAGTGACAGGGCATGTCGAATTGAACACTACAAGCTGTTGAGCACAATATTACCATGCAAAAACAAATAGCCAACATACCTTCCAAGCAGCGTTAGATGGCCCTCCTCGAAAAAACTCATAGCGTCCTTCAATTGCTGAGTATATTTCCTTCAATGTCAGTCTCTTGGTCTCGCTCTCGTAAATTGCCACCTCAATAAGAAGGGGGAGTGGCACACTTGGCCTCATATCTGCTGCATAGTCTGGCAAAGCAGAGAGGGTGATAGGGATGTTTTCTGGGAGGTTAAGCTTACGACGGAGGATGGAAGCTGGGTCTGGGCCTGTCATTGGGACTTGAGACTGGGGTAGTATTTGTGTCAACTCTGGACCTGGGGCTGCTTGAGAAGAATTACTAAATGGACTCTGTTGGGCCCAAGATTGAGATGGAGAAGGATGAGAAGAAGTTGGATATGGTGGGGGCTGGGGCTGGGGCTGAATATGATGGTAGAGAGTATATTGTGGGTGACCCTTGGCAGGAAAAATGACAGTTAATACAGAACATATAGGAAAGAGTAAAGGAACATACCTTATAGCTATGGCTGGCTTCCTCTCTAGTCTCCTGTGCCATTTCCCTATATATATTGGATGTATTTCTCTTCACCTTGAATGTTCGAGACCAAGGATCATATTCTATGTTCTTGATATCCTCTACTGATTTGGAGCTATCACCATCCTCTGACAGCTCTGCTGACCTGCCTTGAACTCTATAGCTTGATCCTGTCATCAATGATAGAAAATCAAGAGTCCAGAATGATTTTTTGTTGTTTTCATGCCCAATTTCAATATATTTGAATATGTGGTGGGAGCCAAGTGCATGCCTTACCAGCTTCTGGATGATATTCTTAGAGGTTGTCTCATGCAGGAGTAATGCAACCAACCTTCCAAACTGTAGGCTTTCTTTCCTGAGCAGACCCTTCAATCTCCTCATTCATAAAGAAGTCATATCTATTGTAAAGGGCTGAATAGATTTCCCTAAGTGTACACATTTTCAATGGATGTTCATATATTGCTAACTGTATCAGCTGAGATACAGAGAATAGAGGATGACAACCAGGCTCAGCATCTGGAAGTGAAGAGAGGGCAATTGGCATATTTAATGGAATTTGAAATTTTTCATAGAAATACTTCTGATGCATACTTTTGGTGTTGAGTATGTTTCTGTCAAGATTGTTCCCAGTATTGAGGAGATTGTTGAAGTAGAGCACATCTGAATAGTCAGAAGATTATTTTACAATATAAACATAAAGGTCAATATACAAACCATTATCTTGAATGATATAAGATTCTTCTATTATTGTCTGAGCTACCATTGCCAAGTCTTTTTGATGCTCCTATTAAATATATTACTTGTGATTTGCTGTATGATTAGCACTTACATTAATCAGGAAACTAGACCAGGTATCATCATGTGTGATTATTATTTTGGCATCAGGAAACTACAAGATGAATTAGTATATTTGTGTGCATTATAAGTAAAACTGATGGAACCTGCAAGAGCAAAAGGTCATTAATCACATACAATGGATGAACTATCTAGAAATTATCTTAAATCAAATTATCAAGCAGGTATACTTAGTATCTTTTTGATGGAGATAATTCTAAAATGTTTACTGGATCTATCTCATTATTATCATGAGATTCAGAACTTTCTTTGTAATTCAAATCTCCACCATTTCTCAAAAGAAAGTTCGAGGAGAATGAAGAGTTTCTGGGCTTTGAAGAATTACTCTTATCAATAAAGTCTGGCAGAGATGATTGTATAATAGGTTGAATCTTGGCACCAAATAATTTGCCCCACAAGCCTTGACCTAATGCTATGGTAAAGCCATGAAGGAAGATAGTCTGGTTAAGAGTCTCCCGATCTTCTGGCTGAAAAAATACTTTACTCCGTGCAGGAGGGCTACAATCAAAGGTATATCCTAGTGGGGTTGAGCTTGGACTAAGAGAAAGAGAACAGGTCTCCCCAAAGGAAAGGTTCTGATACAAGGCAATACCTCCTCCAATTGCCTTCTCATAGCCAGTTATAAGATAGAGTCTACCATTTGCTAGCTGGCAACCTCGCTTGCCATTAACATATTGGTACCAGGATTCAGCATTAGTTGCTGCATATTGCCGCATAGTCTCCACATTTTGCAGCTTCATCAGGTGGGACCCATAAGGTAGGGCTAGCACTGCCCCTGATTCAGGCTTGCCTCTAAAATCATAGTTAAAGCTGCTAGTAGAACTATAACCCTTTATAAAGGCAACATTTCTTTTAGAATAAAAATACTCACCTAGTGTAAGGGCAACCCTGGAGACTCTGACAAAAGCCTAGCAGGGGAGGATCCAAAGCGTGAATAAAAGCTACAGGAATACACGGAGGGACCGACCTAGCAGGGGAGGATCCAAAGAGAAGAAACTCTAAGGGTCCGCCTGCTAGGGCGTCAACTATATACTGGTCGTCTGTAACTGCCGACGTAGAGTGCAGAAGGCCTGAGCAGCGTCGCAGGCTCTGTCCCAAGGTGATCGTTGGGAGGGTCTTGACGGATCGGTGATTGTGCGGGCGAAGGGAGGCTGTGGACGATGGTCGGGGTGGGTCGGAGCGTCCGAGGGGGCGCTGGTCGGATGCGCCTCGGATGCGTTCGGAGGGTCCAAAGGAGGCCGAAGCGGGGGTTCCCCTGACATCACCCCCCCCTTTGAATGCGGCGTCCCGACGCATAGTTCGGAAGGGCAAGGAGTCGAAGGTCGCTGAGGCGATGTGCCGTGGTTTACCCGGGTACCTCCGATAGAAGTCCGCAATCTTGTCTGGTGCAAAGACACGGTCGAACCGAACCCACGAGTCGTGTGAAGCGTCGTAGCCTTTCCACCTGACGAAATAGTTGAGACGCTTATACCTTATCCTGGCATCCAAGATTTCCTCGACTTCCCATTCGGGGACTCCGTCCTCTAGCTCGGGGGGCGGTTCGTCGTAGCCGGGTCGTCCATTGAAGGGGTCGTCCTGAGCGGGCTCGAGCTTAACAACGGGGAAGACGGGGTGGAGCTTGGAGTAACGCGGGGGGAGGTCGAGCTTGTAGGCACCTTTGCTAACCTCTGCGAGCACCTTGAACGGTCCGAGGCGCTTGTGGGAGAACTTCTCGGAGGGCCGAGTCGTTCTAATGTCAGAGGCGTCCAACCAAACCTTATCACCAACTTGAATATTCGGAGCGTCCGAACGTTTCCGATCGTAGTACCGTTTATACTCATCTTTGGCTTTAACGAGCGCGGCCTTTGCCTCGGAGACGCCGTTAGCTATCCGATCACGAAACTCGTTCACCGACTCCAACTCTGAGCGGGCACCTGGCTCGAAACCCATTCGGGGGAGCCGACCAGTGTCCGTCATAAAGGGTACCTGTTGAGTGGAGGAGTGAATATGGTTGTTATAGGCGAACTCAGCGGCAGGGATAAGCTCGTCCCAGTCGTCTTGTTGGTAGTTGGTGAAGATCCGGATGTACTGCTCGAGCTCTTGGTTAACGCGTTCGGTTTGTCCGTCGGTTTGCGGGTGGTAAGCCGTAGAGGTGGCCGGTTTGACGCCAATTAAGCGCCAGAGTTCGCGCGTGAAGTCAGCGATGAACTGCGAACCACGGTCCGAAATGTACTTCTCGGGGGTTCCGTGGTGCCTCCAGACATTCCGATAGTACAACCGGGCGGCTCCGACCGCGTCTATTGTCGTATGGCACTTGGTGAAGTGGGCGCGTTTACCAAGAGCGTCGACGACTACCATGACCGTGTCGTACCCATGAGCTTCGGGGAGCTCGACGATGAAGTCCACCGTGACGGTGTGCCAGCGTTCGGGGGGGGACTTCGGTCGGGTGTAGCTCTCCGTGCGGGAGCCTTCAGAGGGCCTTCGTGCGGCAGCACAAGTCGCAGGTCGCGACGTAGCGTCCGATATGGCGGGACATCTGTGGCCACCAGTAGTTGCGCCAAAACCAGCTCTAGGGTTTTGAACCGACCGGGCGTGTCCGGCGACTCGCGTGTCGTGGCAGAGCTCGATGATGCGCCTCCTTAGGTCCTTGTCTTTGGGGACTACAACCTTGCCGCGGAAGTACAAGAGATCGCCCGAGACGGCCCACTCGTCCGAACGTGATGAGCGGGGGCCCCGAACTTGACCTCGGACCTTCAGGAGTTGCCGGGCCGCAAGCGCGACGGGCTCCTCTAGGTCAGGCTCACCGGATAGCGCTTCCTTGATGTCGCGGACAAGTTCGGACCCAGGCCCAGAGACAGTGACGGCCTCAAGCGCACGAACGTGAAAGAGCTCAGGGCGCAAGAGGGTGACGTCCGAGTTGTCTTTGGAGATGCCGTGGTCAGGCCGGCGGGAGAGAGCGTCGGGGCGGCCCATCTGGCAACCTGGGACGTGGTGCAGCGTGAAGTCAAACCTAGAAAGGTACAACGACCATCGGGCTTGCCGACGGTTAAGGTGCTGTGCCTTTCGGAAATACTCCAAATTCTTATGGTCAGTCCAGATCTCGACCGGATGCGCGGCGCCCTCGAGGAAATGCCGATACTCCTCGAGTGCGCGGATGATCGCGAGCATCTCCTTGTCGTGAATCTCGTAGTTGCGCTGGACATCATTTAAGCTTTTGGAATAGAACACTACAGGGTGCCACTTCCCGTCCGGGGCGGATTGTTGTGAAAGAACCGCCCCCGTCGCATAATCTGAGCTGTCTGCTTCAAGTCGGAAAGGCCGAGAGTCGTCCGGGATCGCTAAGACGGGCTCTGAGACGACCGCGTCTTTGATAGCTTGAAAGGCGGCGGCTTCGGCGTCTCCCCAGGTCCATTTCTGGTCTTTCTTGGTGAGCGCAAAGAGAGGCTGCGCGAGGGCCGAGAAATCCCGAATGAACCTGCGGTAGAAATTAGCAAACCCCAGAAACTGCTGGACGTCCTTCTTGTTTTCGGGCGGAGGCCATGCGGAGACTCCGGCGACCTTAACGGGATCCATTTCGACGTGGTTGTGAGAGATGATGACCCCCAGGTACTCGATCGACGATTTCTCGAAGTCGCACTTCTCCTTGCGAAGGTACAGCTTGTGCATTTGGAGTCTCCGAAGGACCTCGCGGACGATCTCGCGGTGCTTACGGAGGTCCGAATGTGCGATAAGGATATCGTCGAGGTAGATCATAACGTCTCCTGAAAGAATGAGATCCTGGAAAATGTCATTCATCATCGTCTGGAAAGTCGCGGGGGAGTTCATCAGGCCAAAATACATCACCAAAGGTTCGAACAACCCTCGGTTAGTCCAAAAGCCTTCCACTCGTCTCCTTCTTTAATCTGGACGTTATTGAAGCCCCAATGAACATCGAGTTTAGTGAAATAATGGGCACCCTTGAGCCTGTTGATAAGGTCATTAATCAACGGGAGGGGGTACCGGTTCTTAATCGTCATTGCGTTGAGGGCGCGGTAGTCCTGGACAAACCGAAGTCCTCCGTCCTTTTTCTTGACGAAGAAGACGGGGGAAGCCATCGGAGATTTCGAAGGGCGGATACGGCCGGTAGCAAGTCCCTCTTCGATGAACTCGTCAAGTTAGCGCTGTTCAAGGGGGGAGATCGGATACACCTTGCAATTAGCGGGCTTCGCGTCGGGAACGAGTTCGATAGCGTGGTCCCAAGCCCTCCGCTCTGGTAACGTGTTGAAGGACTCCTTGTCAAAGACGTCTTGGAACTCCTTGGCCCAGTCCGGAATTTCCGAAGGCGGGGGGGCCGAGTTACGGGCGAAGGCCTCTGCAAGGCGTTGGGACATGGTGCTCCCGGCGCGAATCTCCTCGATTGGGCGAAAGGAGGTGTAGAAGATGCGGTCGCCGTCTTCAAGATGCTCGTTGTTGTCGAGGTCTGGCGAGGGACTCGGAGGGTCCGAAGTAGCTCCGAGTTCGTCGTCAGCATCGTCTGGACCGGCAATATCGATAGCACAAACGGTGGGGAAGGCGCCCGAGAGCAAACGCGATTTGAGGAGTCGGAGGCGCCAAACCTCAGCGCGCTCGGTCCGTTCCTTGTCGCGGCAAGTGGAGCAGCTCCGGGGGCATCAACTCATTTTCACCTCTTTCGTTTCCCAGTTGATCTCGGGGTTGTGTTTGTTGAGCCAGGAGTATCCGAGTATCAAGTCCTGTTTCCCAAGGTGGGTTACAGCCAGCTGAACGCGTTCGGAGTGTCCGTTGTACCATAGAACGAGGTCCGCAATTTGGCGAATAGACCCAGCATCATTGGGGGTACCGTCGACATTGTAGACCGGTATGGGTACTGAGAGATTTCGGACTGGCACGTTGTTTCGGTTGACGTATTCTGTGTCGATAAAGTCCGAAGTGGCTCCGCAGTCGACCAGACCTGAGAGGGAGAGCTTGAGCGTGTTCGCAGTGGACTCAAGTTCGAGAGGAAGGTGGAGCGAGTTAACCCCAGGAGCGGCAGAGATGGTATAGCTGCCAGGTAACTTTTTCTCCCAGGCAAGTCGGCGAATCCGAACGGGGGCTTCGGAGGGGGCAGGGGGTGCGTCTTTCGTTTCAGGCTCGTTGTAGGGCAAGGGAGTTGATTCATCATACAAACAAGTGAAACGATTTATGGACGCGAACGAGGGCACACCAGTCACTCGTCGCGGGGGACAAAATCCTCTGCCGGAGCCTCCGAATGCGCCTCTGCTAAGGCCGCGGTATCGGACAGCCGCGCAAGCAGCTCTCTCAGCATCTCGTCGCCAAGTTGCTGGATCACCTCGTCAAGGATGTCCACATGGCGAACATCAGCGGGGAGCGGACAATCCCGAGCCAAGTGGTTGGGGTCGCCACATCTGAAGCAGGCTCGACGAGGGGCGCCCCGAGCCCTAGTACGATCCAACTCCATAGGGACGGGAGCTGGAGGTACCGAGACGGGGGCGCGGGCCGGGTGGCGCAGGTGCGCCCACCGGGCGGATGGGGAACGGAGTTGCCGAACGGGCGATAGGGAATGCGCCACGCGGAGCCCCGAAGGTGTCCGCGGGGTGGTCCCTTTGATGAGCTTCGCCCGTACCAAGGCTTCGTATTGGCGGAAAGCCCGAGTGCGCCAGCCCAGATAGTCACGGAGGTCTGGGGGGTCGTTCGAGGATGTGATGCCATTGTTGATCAGGGGGTCAAGTCCATGGCGGTACTTGGTCACCTTAACCAACGCGTCTTCGAATCCGGCGAGGTCCATTAGGTCCTCGAAGTCGTCGGTGTATCCGTAGACGTCCCGCGTTCCCATGTGATAACCCGCGCTTTCCAACTTGGCGAGCGCGAGGTCTTGCTCGTTCTCCTCAACGAACCGAAGGCGAAACTCGGAGAGGAATAGGTTCCACTGAGGGAAGGGGAACGGGGTTTTGCTTCCATGACGCTCTGCCCACTGCTGGGCAGGTCCCTCCGCCATATAGGACATGGCGTAGCGGACGGCCTTTTCTTCGCTCGGCTCTCCGTTGACCACGAAGGCCTCCGGGGCAAGCCGGGCGTAAGTCTTGACCGCGTATAGGAAGGCGCGGCCACGTTTGCGATCTCCGTTAAACGCAAACGGGGGGTTTGGCCGTAAGACCAGTTTTGAGGCGACAGTAATGTCACCAAATAACGCATCCGCGTCGGGGGGCATTCGGAGATGCCGAAGGCGGTTCGGGAGCTGCCGAAGGTGGTGCGGCAGCGGAAGCCTGGGAAGCAAGGTGGGTGAGGATATTGGTGAGGTTGTCTAGTTTCGCCTCAAGTGCGTCCATGCGCGTCAGCGTCTGGAGCAGCTCCGGTAGACATAGCGGGCGTAAGGACGACAAGAGCAGAGGAGGAGGGGTCAAGTGGCAGGGGCGGTGACGAGGGGGGGGTACGGACTCGTACTCCGAGCCTGAATCAGCGCCAAACCTGGCAATCTTGACCGGTTAATCCCGTAGAGAGTTTCTTCTGCTGTAAGGGCAACCCTGGAGACTCCGACGAAAGCCTAGCAGGGGAGGATCCAAAGCGTGAATAGAAGCTACGGGAAATACACGGAGGGACCGACCTAGCAGGGGAGGATCCAAAGAGAAGAAACTCTAAGGGTCCGCCTGCTAGGGCGCCAACTATATACTGGTCGTCCGTAACTGCCGACGTAGAGCGCAGAAGGCCTGAGCAGCGTCGCAGGCTCTGTCCCAAGGTGATCGTTGGGAGGGTCTTGACGGATCGGTGATTGTGCGGGCGAAGGAGGCCGTGGGACGATGGTCGGGGTGGGTCGGAGCGTCCGAGGGGGCGCCGGTCGGATGCGCCTCGGATGCGTTCGGAGGGTCCGAAGGAGGCCGAAGCAGGGGTTCCCCTGACACACCTATAGAAACTCCATTCCTTTGGTACTCTGTAGGTAGGTTTCTCTGTGGTTCAGGCACATATAGTGGGAATCCCCTTCCACAGACCAAGAGCTGAGAGCAATACAAATTGCTTGCTGTGAGGATGGAAGGTGGACTGGGGGGTGAATTCTAAACATGCTTGAAGTCAATTCAGGCAATCTCTGATAACATATGATGCATACCCTCTCTTGCCTTTGAGGAGTGGTTGGCCTTGTATGCACATACATATCACCATGCACTGCGGTGAAGTGAGAGTTAGTGATATCAAACCCACTTGCATGGGGAAAGATTTGTGATCTAGGGCTTGCTGCCCGTTCTACCTCTGTCATCGCGTGGAGAGATGGGGAAGTACGACAGTTGCAACCCAGCTTTTATCTGTGTCTGGGGTGACAGCCGTGAGAGAGGTGCTGCTTGTGTACATGCCGCGTGTTGATGCCTCACACCATCCGGCCCGGACATCCCATGCTTGCATGTAAAGATGACGGTCTCTGTAATCCCACTCGGTCAAGGCATGTCGGCAAAGGGCTGAGACCTCGCGCTCATTACAGCCGTCCACCGCTCAGCTGGGCGGACACCCGGGCCGCGCCGTGGTCCAGCACGTACTTAGCTGATACCCCGGAGATGCAGCGTCTACATCTATGAAGGGCGAAAACCATCGGAAGCATCTACCAGGCAATGAAATACATAGGAGTTTTAATTAAATCAGATTTTAGTTTGGAATGTCTAGCCTTGCTCAACTACAGGCCACCAAATACCGAGAAGCTCAGCGCACTGATCGCCAGCGTCAACGGATCCAGGGCACGCTTGCGCAGACCCGGTGCGCCAAGGAGCACAAATGTGCCCGCGCAATTGTTCGTCTCTTGCGCCGTGGGGCTGCAGAGCACCTTCCAGGGCGAGTTTCCATCCCTGCGCACCAAGATGCACGCCGGAAGCCCGCGACCGCCCATAACGAAGGTAACGTCAACGTCCTGCGGCCCCAGTCCGTTCCTGCAGGCGAAGTCTAGCTCGGTCGTAGCATAGCCGGCTGTGTTTGCTGCGACGTCGTCGAAGAGGAACGAATTCGGGCAGTCTGTCGCACTGACGCTGTTGAGCGCGCGGCCTTGAAGGTGGTTGCCCCGAAGGGAGGCGCCGGACCCGACGGCATAACGATTCTACAGAAGTTGGTGGAGAGCAAGATAGAGAGGGAACAAACGCACCGTGTTTCCGGAGCCCATGATCTGGACCTGGTTGTTGTTGGTGCCGTATTGAAGGGTCCCGATGGGGGACAGGGTCCCGGGTGGAGTCTGTTGAGTATAGGTGAGGACTCCGCCGGTACCAGGGACATTGCAGCGAGGTGACGTCGGCGCTGTGGGGATAAGAAGCTAAGCATTGATATCAACGAAGAGTGTGTTTCGATATCAGAGCGACGAACGCGAGCATTAAAAGTGGAAGGATTGTACTGCAAATATTGTGAGCTCAACTGGGGGCAAACGGGCTGAAACGAATACTAACAACATTGAGCGTATAGAGCGGGAAGCATGCCGGAACAGGCACGCCCAATCGATTCGCCAACGTATTCATCGAGTTGCGATAATATGTCCACGCGTTCTGACCGCGCGACGTGCAGCCGGCGGGATACGTGTTGATCAGATTTGTCAGCCAGGTGTTGAACATGAGCGGTAAGCTCGCATCGTCGGCTAGCTTCTGAGTAGGCGTGATCTCAGACAGCAGATTTTGGACGCGCAGCGCCGTGTCGTGGAATATCTGGGTTGTGCCGCCGAAATCTAGAATAACAGGGATGAGGAGGTGAACTTGAAGTCGGAAGTATCGAGCGCTTTACATTGGCCAACGGCAGCCAAGCTGCGCAAGAAGAACCTGATTATCTTTCGTTGAGTACCCAAAAACGCTGCCAAGGTTAACGACTCACTCTATCTTATAAATTGAATCCGCCGCTGCATTAAAAGACGGGTAAATTGTCGATATATTATCCATGACTGCGCGCATAGGCGGATTCTGCGGGGTATTCGCATTGAGATTGACGACATTCGATTTAGCTGGTCATAGTCAGCTTGGCAAGGCCAACCGACAGCAAAACAAAACAGACCTTGATTGAGTGGTTTATCAACCCAGCTGCAGGGAATTAGACGAACGAATACACCGAGGTTGAGATAGCCTACACCATATTTGGCGTCTAGAGATATGATTGAGCAAAACATACATCTCTGTGCGTATTCACTGACCTGATCGATAGCTTGGACGAGTGCGAGCGCCATTGTCGTACCGTCCGTTCGTAGATAGCTGAACAGATTGTTTTGAACCCTGAAGTCATGTCAGCCACCAACACCATTGTGCAGAGGCTGATTTGTTACTCGCCAAGTACAGTCTCCAGCTTGCATCGGAACAGATCCGACCCACTGTCCAATATAACCTAGTCTGTGTCGCCGATTAGAATTGAAACTAGGGCAAGCGGACTGGAAAGTACTCGAAAACATGTTCCTCTGTTGATCTCTGAGTCTGTCTTTACCCGCTTTTGAAAGAGACAACTCACGATTGGTTGCCCCAGCAGGCTTGCCGCCAACTGGCACGCCCACCAAAACGGTGCCGGTGATTCCGCCTGCGGGGTCCAGTTCCACGTAGTCGGCCGGCCCCAAAAGAACATTCTGAGGATTTGTGAATGACACGGCTGGGCAACGCGGAATGTTGATGCCTAAAAGCCATGTCAGTATGACAAATTGATAAGTGTTGCAGAGACTTACGCCGGTTTCGACGAGCGAGTTGATGGAGTGTGCCATTGAGTTGCCGGTCTGACCCCCCATGGAATGGCGCAGGGTGCGGACCAAAAGAGACATGGCGATCTGCGACCGAAGGGGGAGGTGGCAGAGTCTCTCGCCGCCACTCAGACATGAAACGGAGCGGGTTGGCTGCGGAAGCGAGCACCCTCTGAGCCCAGCTTACCAGTCTAGCCGCTGGAGATTCACGTGTAAGATATTTCTCGTTATGTGGAACCTCAGGGTGGACGCTTTCTGCTCACATAATCAGCTTGAATCCAGCAATACAACAAAGGAATCACACCTCGCTTCCGTTTCCGATCAGGGTCAGTGCCCTGTCCATCCCAGTCTGCGTTATTCGGGTCGTCTGGCAAAGTGAGGTCCGCAGGACGCGTCGGGCAGGCGGTCGAAGAAGACGATGACCGACTCATGCTACTGGTAGGCCTACTGACGGACTGCGTGTTTTCGTCGCCGCCGCCGCCAGGAGGAGGAGGAGTCGGGCGGGGGATCGGATTTGTCCACGGCCCTGTCCAGTCGGGAGGTGGGATGGGCACCTGTAACAGTTGTAAATGCGACAATTACAGCGCTGGTTTGTCGTGTTGCATACCGGTGTAATACCGTGGATAATGCCAACATCGATGGGGAGGCATTGGTTAATGATGCCACCGAAGAGGAGGGTCCAGAAGTTGAAGGGGTTGCACCGATTATGGTCGCCCGGGGGCCCGGTGACGGTCGGATTCGGCGAGTCGGTTTTTGGCGGAACAGGGACGATGCTGAAGTATGTCGGCGTGGATGTGAGGGGGCCTGTGAATGTGATGGTGGAAGCGCCGGGGGGAGGGATGATGTCCAGCGCTGTGGATATATCAGAAGAGATCCTACGTCGTTTATCATACAGACGCACACCACGTTGGGAAGATGCCTCCCACTTCCGAGCACTGTGTAGCCAAAGGACCGCCCACCGGGGTGCCGCCACTGCATTAAAGTCAGGGACAACCCGCGAGAAGAAGAAGACGAAAGACGCACCTATTCAGCGTAATGGTCGCCCCTCCAGCCGAAATAATCTTCGTCGCCGTCGGTATCGGGAAGCTAGTCGTCGTTCCCGAGCAGACAAACGTCTCGGTCTTCGCGCCGGGCGAGGGGAACGGATTAGGGTCTACAGCCCGTTAGCAACACAGCTCGCGCCATAAAAAGAGGCATACTCCATGGAATGTTGGTATTCGACTGCGGCGGCTGGCCGGTCGTGACGGTCTAACGAAAAGCTGAGCGTGTGAAAAAAAAGGGCGTGACGTGGCTTACGAAAGGGAAGACCGGATCGGTCCACGGACCGAGCCAGCCGACGGGCATGATCGGGGTTGGGGTAATCCCGCCGGAAATGCCGATGGTCGTGGGCAGCGTGCCAAGAACGACGGGGCCAGTCGGCGCGAGAGACAAGGACCAGCGCACTCCGCCGGGCCCAGTCACCGTCTGGATCGCGCCGCTTGTGGGCTGCGTGACAACGGTTGTGAAGGTGGGAGCGCCACCAGAAACGGGGGCCGTGAAGGTGATAGACCCAGTCGCTGGCGGAACGATTTGGAAGCTCCATGTCGGTTTCACGCCGTTGACTTCTGTTACAGTGGAGGGCAGCATCGCGGTCACAGGAGTCCCTCCGGGATCGAGGAAGATGATCTGGCCTCCGATACTGACAATCGTCGGCTGCGTGGGTATAGGAATGACCGTAGTGGCGCCGCCTGCGATGGAGAATGTCTCCGACACGGCATTTGTGGGTGGAATCGGATTGGGATCTGCAGCAATTTGTGAGTCATGACAAGACTTGTGTCAGAAACGTACTCCACGGTACGAAGTTCCAGTTTCCGAAGCCTCCACCTCCATTTGTACCATTTCCACCCCCAGGGGAGCCGGTGCCCTGCAATCACGATGAGTACTTGGCTAACAGACAAGAAGGAACACATACATCAGCCTCCCACAAAGTGAGCGTGCTTGCATAACCGTCGATATTATCCGCCTGGAGCGCGATGGACGCGTTTCCGGGGTAGCTGATCATGTTCGTCGTCCCTGTCGTTGTCAGCTGGTAGATATATACCGCAGATGACTCGCGGTCCACCAAACACAGGTTTGACTATAGGTCTAGTTCTTAGGTAAGAGGCGGAAATAGCCACGAAGACATGAGACAAACCTGGAAGAAACTGTACAACCCAGCACCATAAACGAAAATATTGAAGGAGCGTGTGATGACAAGACCCCAAGCATCAACGACCGCCTCAGACGGATCGCCATAAAGCGCATTCGTCGAGAACGGCGTGGGCGGGATAGGCGTTGGCTGGAAATAGGGTGTTTCCGTCTGGATCAAGCCAGCGTAGACATTCTGCGCGTTATGGAACGCATATTGATAAATAACCTACATCGACAGTTGAATGTAAACCGGTGGGTTAGAGACGCGGCTTACATGGTGTTCAGAAGCAGTTCCGACGAGCCACACGGGCCCGCTGGCCGATTCGACGAGAACGCCGCGGCCACTGAAAGAATTGATCCGCGTTTGGTTCGGATCGTCGAGATCGTGATCTGATCACCGATAAGATAACACGACGGCCAACAGGGGTTTGGACACATACCAGCGTTCCATACCCAGACATTCTGCACCAGAGATCAGAACGAGCTGTCGATGGATAATTTCAACCCTACCTCAAAGTAACCTGAGCCGAACGATGTGATATGTATACCCAGGAACGCGGAAGCACAGGCGGCAGCATTCACGGAGGAGGTCGGACAGTTGGCCGAATTGATATTGGTTCCCTGTAGATGTTGAACTTAAGTAAGTAAATCGGTTGAAGATCTGACCCTGGCGCCGCCGAGACGGACATGCACGTCCCACAGACCCGCAGATCCAGACGACGACGCGGCCAGGTTCCACTGAATGCCGATCGCGCCGGCTGACCCGCCCGTCGTCGTGATGACAAAGTCGCTAAGCTCGGCAATACCTACGTCCCCGGGGTTGCCGACCTGGAGGTGTGTGTTCAATAACCAAATGTATCAGAACAAAAGGAGGGAAAGACGCACGCGGACGACGGGCCGCGGATTGTTCTGGTCCGCAAACTTGCTCCCGGTGCCCATGATGACCGAATAGAGCACGCCGACAAGCTGTGTGCCCGATGGTACAAAGATCGTGTCAGAGACAAGGTATGTTCCGGTCTCGATAACTGGAGGCTTGGTCAGCATCGAGTTCAAATACTTGAATTTCAACGCCGATCTTACTTAGAATCGCACAACCGGAGTTCTGTGGCGAATATGAACATCAAGAAACGGGTATTCAGTGGAAAAGAGACCTGAGAGATGAAATTATTAATTGCGACGGTGTCGTCTGTGACACCATCGCCTTTCGCGCCAACACCACTGGTCATTAGGGTGCGGAATTCTGCAAAGAAAGTGAGATACTAGGTAGAAAGTATTCAAAGAACACACGGCCTGGGGAATACGACTGATACTGCGGGCGTGAGCGTGAGAAATACGTCCCCGACCCGTCCGTGAGCAGCTGTGGGCGCGAGCCGGCGGGCGTATAGGATCCGCGGAGGTATCGTTTGGTGTTTCCTAAAAAGAATGAGGGTTTAGCAAGGCTTTCAATAGGTGGAAAGCCATACCGAGGTAGACATTTCCCTGGAACCACTCGAGGCCGACGCCGGCGTTGGCGGCGACGACGGTACCGCTCGCGTCCTGGATGTTTGCCGTTGTGATCGCCGAGAAGGCAACGTTGTCGAGGATAACCGAGCCGCCGAGTTTGCTGGGTTGGCTGCTCGTCATCTTTGCCAAAAATCAGGGCTTTCTCCAGAAGAAGAATAATCGGGCTTACGCGGATGCCGATCCCAGTGGACGATATCTTCGAGTCGATGATCAGCACGCCGCCCGCACTCTGCGTCTCGAGCGTGAGCCCACCCGTGGCGAGGTCGAACCCGACCTGGCAATTGCTGCATTGACACATTATAATCAGCCGAAACAGCGCGTGAAAGTATAGATAAGGACGCACGATATCTGGATGTTCTGCCACGTGAACCCCCAGTTCCAGAGCTGGTACACCGCCGACACCGCATTCGTGATCTTCACGTTGCGGATGGTGAATTGTTGGTTGGAGATCCACATCCCGAACGCGCCACTGCACATATGGGTGATCATTAACTATCAAACAACCGGGCACTTGAGAAAGGGTTTACACACCCGTCGAAGGTGAGGTCGGACATGAATCCTCCGGAGCCGTTCTCCATGAATATTCTGTGGAAATGGTCACCAAATATCTTGAATCCTGCGAGAAAAGTAACGTACCCCTGATGTTTCGTCCCCGAAGCAGAAGACATCTTGAAGTCGATATTATTCAACGACGTTGCCTGTCATCTCTTCATATTAATGTCCTTATCGCCAGACGGAGAACTCACCTGCCCGACCTGCCAGTGTATCCCCGTGCCATACGCGTTGGGCGACACGGCGCGCACGTCGATGACGAAGTTGCGGATCGAGCGGAAGAAGTTCTGTGTGCCATGCGTCAGTAAACAAACATCCCATGACACACTAGTATGTAGCGCACGTTCTGGTTCGTCCACCAATTAACCCCGGTGCCGTCGGGGTTAACTGCGCCGGGGATGTACGGATCAGCATCTGCGGCACATCAGCCGAGCACTACTCCATTTCGCATATGCGTACCGATAACTGCGATCCCAACGAAGTTCGCGTCCGCGATGATGGTGGGCTTGTTATTGTAGTCGCCGACGCTGTAGATCGTGATGAGACGAGATGGAACGAAAAGCGACTGGGAGGACCCACAGAGTGGTGTAGTAGAAAGGGATGATAGGAGCGGTGACACGGTACTGCAGAGGACATTCGTTAACAACAAACAATGTAGAAGGTCACACACTTTTCCAGGCGGGAAGAAGATAATTGCGGGAGTAAGCTGTTCGCGCCGGATCAGAACGATTACTGTTAAGTATTATAAAGGCGCTCACTGTAGAGGACGCGCAGCCCTGTCCACACCGACCGCCGTCTGCAAGCCTAGCATCAGCGCCAACTCAAGTCTACAGTAAAAGAGGAACACACCACTAATCGCATTGTTAATCGCCACCGTGTCGTCCGCGACGCCATCGCCCACAGCGTGGTAGTCCGTCTTCACGTTGCGAAAGACTTTGTAGCCCGCCTTGTACGCGCTCTTGCTCGCGCTCGTCAGGGCCGCGGTGTTCATCCAGAACGGGTCTTGCACGCGTCAGCCGGGCAGCTATAACTCGAGAGCACATACCGCTGGGGGAGGCGCTACCGCTGATGCCTGCGCACCCCGCACCAGCGGCGGGGAGCACGGAGAGCACCGTGTAGAGAGAGAGGGCGAGGAGGTGTTTGGCTCGGAGGCGGGGCATTGTGAGTCAGAGGGCGGTTCGCGTTCGCAGGGACCTTTTAACACTTGTCGTTGTGCGAAGCGGCGCTGGGGAGTGAATTGCGTGATCTTCTGCCGGCAGGGCTTAATACCATAATTGATACCAGGCCCGGCTGGCTCATAAGTAAGCGGGCGCTTGCTTGACTAGTTCCGCAATGCTTGTGAGTTGGCTGGCTAGCTTGGTTGTAGTGTGCATCGTTTGCAAGTGGATACCACGCAGCGGACTGTAGTTTGTGGGCCTTGGAGTCCGACTCGAAAGCAGCGGCGAATTCGAAGGGCGGGGATCTGCACATTACGACGGGTATCCCGCCCGTCCGTGGTCCGTCGATCCCCCGGCGACCTATAACGTCACCGCCATGGGTCAGCAGTCGCTGATTCAGCGATGCGCAGAGCTCGGGGGCGCCAGAAGCAGCTGCCAGCGGGCCCGGGGGAATCCCTGTCAAGTGGCACAGGAAAATTGAAGCAGTCGCAGGTGTCGCTGAGTTGTGCGGAGGGAGCAGGAGCAAGGTTTGCCAGCGAGACCATCGGCGTGATTCGCGCGCCGACCAGGCACTAGCAATACTGGCGCCGAGATGCAAGGCGCCCACTTCAAGCGCGGTCAGCAGCCCCGGTCACGGCACCCGCATACGCTAGCCTCGTCATCTGCGCGTCGTCAGCACTCGTCCCCGTCCACGAATCGAGCAAGGAACTTGAAGGAAGGAGAAGAGCCCGCTGGCAGTCACGGTTACGGCACGATCAACCATTTTTCGTGCCGGATAAGGCAATTGCCAATCGCCTTCTCTTCTTCTCCTTCCATTCTCCGCAGTGTGTCACCCGCCCGCCCTTCCTCCCTCCGCGCACGACTTGACCACGAGCACAACGACTACCACGAGGAAGACGAGCAGCGGATGGCGACCGCGGACACACCACCCGATGGCCGATGGGCCACCCGCAGAGGAACGCGACAAGGACGACGGTGTCATCGTCGATGACGAGCATGGACGAGTTGCGTGGCCTGTCATCTTCTGCTTTTCTTTACTCACTCAAGGACAGTGGGAGCTTTGAGGAGTTTAAGGCGGCGCAGGACCGGCGGTTCGCGGCGGTGCAGCATGGCGAGCGGGGGATGGCGGCGTTGAAGGCGGTGCAGATGGAGGGGTTCCAACAGCAGAACCAGCAGCCCAGGGCACGGTCCCCGCCCGTGAAAGAAGAGTGCTTGCATATCCTTTCGACGATGACGTGGCGGCGGCCTCTGGCGCATCACCGAGCCGGCGGGGTGGGATGCCTGAAGTTTACGTGGCCGTTTGGTTTCCTCCTGTTATTGCTTTCCATCCAATTGAATCGGCCAGTCCGTTGTATTTCAGACCTGCGAAACAGTGACACTGCTGGTACTGTAATCTACTCGTCGCCTGCTGCTTTCCGTTAGCCTTCCGAGCAGTGTCGACGCTCTGGAAACTTCGCAAGAGGGCCTGAATACGTTGCAGCCGGAGAGAAGATCCCGTTGACACGACCCCAGGTACTTGCTCCACTGGCAGCTGTGTCGGCATACCTCAGGCCAACTCCGCGGCAGCAGCAGCAGCTAAATCGCGAACAAGGCTGCTCAATCACGGTGCCACAATGCGTGAACCTGCGCCGTTCACAGCTACATTGACGGACGTGGCGCGTCGTGGCCTGGAGATACTTAAAGCCACCACAGGTCGTGCTTTTTCATCCTCTGGGCGACCATCCCGGGGTTGGAGCTGCGGCCCGAGTACGCAGTAGTCGGAATACCGCCGAATTTGGATATCGATATTCATTGCAACCTGACGCGTCATACGGCAGTCTCCCATGTAATTTGGGAACTTCTCACGAGGATCCGCCAGCCCGCAGCCAGTACTTCCCTGAGGATGTCTCGCAGTGCACGGACTCGAAAGTTACGGGCCATGATTTAACTCTCCATCGCCCCCCAAGTTCCAACACCTCTTCTGCTCTGTCGCGTGTGCGCAATGGCCAATATTGTCCAGTCTTTCCAGCTCATACATCATTGACCGCAGAATACACTTTGGCAGCCCCGCGTGGACGGAGGTCTGGGACCGGTTTGAACCGTAAGATGGAGCGACAATCGCTCACCCGGGTCCGTTTGTGCGCAATATATACTCTCTTCCCAGCTGCTGCCGAATTCGACGGACCTCTCTGTTATTATCGATGCTCAAGTTATCTTGGGCGGTGTGCCTCGGAGCTCTTAGCTCGCTACCTTCAGCTGTGTATGGCGCGGGATGCGCTGGGCTTAGTGGCAGCGCATCTGGGAATGGTGTGTCTACCAGTTTCAGTCGTTCTCGGAATACCTGATTGACCTGGCTCTAGATCCGTTTTGGATGAACGACTCCGGCTTGACGTCGCTCAGTAAAAGCGCGTACAAGTCGGGCTATAAGGTTGGTCATGATAATCGCTGGGGGCTTGACACCTGAAATCTATTAGGTATTCCGCAATGTGAAAACTGACTATGGGGCCGTGGGCAATGGTGTCGCAGGCACGTGTGATCATTTACAGACAAATTCATGGCACTCATTGGTAATGCAGACGATACCGCTGCAATTAACCGAGCGATCAGCGGTGAGTGCAATTTCTTTTGTGTATGGACAACCCTGAAGTGGGTATATATCCAGATGGCGGTCGCTGTGGCCAAGGCTGTGTATCATCTACAGTCTGTTCTAGCCTCATTTCTAATCTTCTATCTGTAACGATTGGTAGATTACACCCGCAATCATCTTCTTCCCTCCGGGGAAGGTATGTATACAGTATTCTATGGGTGTAAATTACATTGTTTACTGATTGGTTTGCAGTATCGTGTAACTGCACCTATAATTCCATTCTACTATACAACTCTGTTTGTGATTTGGCTCAGTACTTGCATCCACAACTCATATGATTGATTCAGTGTTGGTGACTACAACAACAAACCAACACTTGTTGCAGATGCTAACTTCAATGGCATTGCTGTTATTGGTACCTGCTTTCACTTACCTTGTTATGCTCTATCAAACAAATTAACAGATGCTGATCCTTATATTCCCGGACAAGTTAACCCTGATGGTTCGGGAGTTAACTGGTGGACAAACCAGAATGTGCGCTGTTGTGCTACTTGAATAGGGAAAGTGACTAAAGCATGCATTTGTAGAACTTCTTTCGCTCAATTCGAAACTTTGTGATTGATGTCACAGCCATGCCGCCTGAGGCATATGGAACGGGTATTCATTGGCAAGTTGGCCAGGTGGGTGCATCCTTTCTAGCATGAGACACTCTTTGTAATTGACATATGTAGGCAACATCATTGAACAACATTGACTTCAAGATGTCAGCTGCATCTGGAACAAGACACCAAGGGTAGATGTTCACTATTCATGTTGATTACCTCTGACTCAATTGTACAGAATATTTATGGAGAATGGATCTGGTGGGTTTATGTCAGATCTGACATTCAATGGGTGTGTTGCATGTTTTTTCTAGCTCCCTATCTATCTAAACCAGTAACAGTGGTGCATTTGGCATGTGGCTCTCCAACCAACAGTTCACTATCCGCAATGTAAAGATTACCAATGCTGTTTCTGCCATATATCAACTCTGGAATTGGGGGTTTACATGGCAGAATATCCAGATAACGTCAGTCTCATGCTATTCTCATTTCATTGCTGTTCATTATTTCAAAGGAATTGTCAAGTGGGATTTGATCTCAGTACTGGAGGGTTAACCCTAGCTACACAAAGTGCTGGTGGTGTCCTGATTATTGATTCTAAAATATCATCCACTGGTATTGGTATCAGGGTATGATAAGGTGAACTTGTCAAAACCAGCATTGACATTGTTTCAGATGACAAGCAGTCAACCAAAAACACTTGGTGGCTCCATTGTTCTAGACAATGTTGCCTTCTCCAATATCAAGACTGCCAATATTCAAGATGCTAGTGGCACTGTGGTTGCTGCTAACACTGGTGTTGGTTTGGAATGGTTCCAGGGAAATGTTTATTTAGGTATGATTTTATTCTTTTTCATTTAAAATAATCTGAATAATCACTAGGCAATTCAAAGCGCTATTTGCGTGGATCATATACACCAGCTGGGAGTCGTCCACAGCTCTTGACAGATACATCTGGAACTTATTTCTCCCGATCTCGCCCTCAATATGCATCATATACCACAAGTCGTGAGTTAATATATCAAGAAAATATGCTAATATTAATAATACTCAGAATTCCGCACTCTCATGACAAGTGGTCTTGGAGCAAAGGGTGATGGTGTAACAGATGATACTCAGGCAATCAATAATTTTATCTCTCAGGTATGCACTTTCAAACATGTCAGATAACATAACTGATCTATGAAATAGAACTCTGGTTGTGCAATCCTAAGTATGACAAATATTATTTCCACATATACTTAGTTATACTAACCAACTATCTAGTTATTGAAACAGGCACCTATCTTGTTTCAGATACAATATTTGTCCCTGCTGGAACACAACTTGTTGGGGTACTCTACTCAGTCATTATGGGCACTGGGAAGAATTTTGCTGATCAGGCTAATCCTCGGCCTGTCATTCAGGTAATCATCTCTTATATCTAATGGTAACTCTTGAACTTATGTAACATGGCAGGTTGGTCATCCTGGAGATGTTGGAATTGCTGAAATTAGTGACTTTGTTATCACTACTACTGGTGGTTCAGCTGGTGCTATTGGCATTGAGTGGAATTTAGATGCATCATCACCAGGGTCAGCTGGACTTTGGGATGTGCATGTCCGATTGGGTGGTGCCAAGGTAAGGCAGACCTTCAACACTTTTTTTTTCTGAGTACTAATCTTACCAGGGAACAAATATTGATGCAGCACACTGTTCCACCTCTGCAACCAACTTAGCAACCTGTGGTTCTGCATTTTTGGGCATCCATATCACTCCTTCTGGGTCAGGATACTTTGAGGTATGCACTATTTTATATATATTACATGTAACTAATATAATTTAGAATGTCTGGGTTTGGAATGCAGGCATGTATCAAGTATTGGTCTTTCTTATTTGCTTATGTTCAACCAGACCATGACCTTGATGATCCCAATCAAACACAGATCAATTCTTTTAGTGGACGTGGGATACTGGTGGAATCAGCGGCTGGTCCAGTTTGGCTGGTTGGAACTGCCTCAGAGCATCATGTAGGTCTCTTTTTAGCATGAGTTATTATTGCTAAAAATATAAAGGTCATTTATCAATATGCATTCAACAATGCACAGAACATCTATGCAGGCCTAATCCAGACTGAGACCCCATATTTCCAGCCTACACCTATTCCCCCTGCACCATTCACACTCAATTCAGCTTATGGAGATCCATCTGAGGCTGTTGTTGATGCATGGGGCCTAGTTATAACAAGGTCCTTCAACATATTTGTCTATGGTGCAGGTCTATACAGCTTCTTTCAGGTACCTTATACAATTTTCCAATATCAAGACTAATAAAATTTGTCTAGCATTATCGCCAAGATTGTGTTGCTACCAAAAACTGTCAGAACTCAATGGTTTTGGTTGATCATGAGTCCTCTGCAGTGTATATTTATCAGCTGACAACAACTGGAACTACCAACATGATCAGCTATCCTGGGAATATTTCTATTGCATTACAAGCAGATAATATTGATGGATATGCAAGTACATTAAGTCTTTGGGAAGCCAATGTGGGTGCTCTATTAGTTGCTCCAGACTGAATAACAACTTCACAGGGAAATGGCTCTCCAGGCAGTGGCTCTGGTGGCAACAATGGAAGCAATCCTGGTGGTGGTGGTGGTTCTGGCACATTCCCTAATTGGAACTTTATGCCATGGAGCAAGTTATTTCATTATTTGAATGAATTATTTTTATTGATATATACATAGATCCCAACCCTATCCCTAGTTCTGGTGCTGTCTCTGAGACATTTGCTATTGCTGGTGGCTCCACAACAGTGATACCAATACCTACCACAACGACAATAGTAACTGTGGGGACACAATTTGTATTCCTTGACCCAGGAGGAACACCAGCAACAGCATTGCTTCCACCTGGTGTTACAGAGGTCAATGGTATAACACCCACATGGACCTTTCAGATAGTTCCTCCAACCACAGGTCCTATTACATTTACTGCACCACCAGAATTCTCTGGTGGTCCATCTTTTACAACAGTTGTGCCATCACCATCTATAGGTGCTATTGAGACTGTTACAGGTCCTCATGGTGTCTTGTGGTCTATGTCAGGTGCTCCAACAGGTCCTGTAATTATTGGCACTTTGCCAACATCAATTGGTATATCTGATGGCATCACTCCAACACCTGTTATGCCTGTTGGATGGCTCGGGCCATGGAGAGACCCTATATTTCCCTTTGTAAGTTCTGTTCACTATGATTTTTCAAGAACTTATGAATTTTCCATAGACAACAACAATTGGGCAACCAGCTCAATCAAACACAGATGTCCCTTGGAGTATAATATTTAGTTTCTGCAGAATCAATATTAATATAACTTATAGATCCAAATCCCTTCCCACCACCTGGAGCAACATCAGAGACATTTGTTTGCTCTGGTACTACAACTAGTTTTCCTATTCCAACTGCTACCACTACCATATCTGCTGGTGGTGCTACTATCACATTGAATAGGTAAGTTATTACTCAGGCATAATATTCAATTTTTAATTTTTCAGTGGTGGCACTCCTGTTGGTGGTCCATTAGCCACCCAGTGTTCTGAAGTGGGTGGAATTATTCCAACTTGGTGTATGTATAATCTATTCTCATTAAAGAAATCTGACACTGCTATAGCTCAGGATATTATTCCACCTCCTGGAGCTACACAGATTACATTTACTGGCCCTCTCACCTCAACTCCCACATATATAAGTGTAGTTTCTGTCCCACCCAAAACAGACTCCCCTCATCCCACCGTAACTGGCCCTCCTGGAGATCATAACCGCTGCAATACATTAAATATATGGGCAATCATCTTTGGAGGATTCATCAACCCATGCTTGCCACTTGATATAGGAATTATTCATGGGCTTACACCTGTTAGTCAAATCATATTTATAAAGATCTTGTACTTAACCCTTTGCAGGTTCCAATTCCTCCTCCTGACTGGAAAGGACCCTGGACCAATCCTATTCCTAGACCCACACCACCACCTCCTGGTGGGGAGGATGATGGAGAGCATACCTCACATTCTATATCAATGAGCAGGTCAAGTAGCATGAGTCAGTCCTCTGCATCTTCATCAGCATCTTCATGTCCAACTATGCCGGCTGATCTGGGGCTTCCTGATGACCCAGAAAATGTTGATTGGGATGCTACAGGCACTGATCCTGATGAGAGACGTAAAAGAGGTATGTAATTATACCTATCATTTTCAGTATTAATCATATAGCAGGGCTTTCTGCAGATACTATGCAAACATCATCTATAACTATGCTTTTAGCTGCAGGGAGGACACTTATACATGGTGCAACACAAATATTCCAATTATATCTGGATTGGTATAATGAGAAGATCACTCTGCCCTCTCCATTGTATCAACAACCCCAAAGATCATCTGGTCCACCTCAAAATCTGACTAAAAGAGTTTTTCCTCTGACACCTCGTCGTATGCTACTATATATCAACTTATTTAAATCTTAACCTAGGTTATAGGTATCAACATTCCTCGCTGTGCTGGAGCCAATACCAACAATACACACATTGTCGAGCTGGGTGCTGGAGATTATGTGAAACTCAATTCCAGCCTTGGCATTATAAGCACAGTTCTTGGGGCAGAAGCAGTGAATGGTCGTCCACTTGGTGTAGATGTCAATCGTCAGTCTATTTTCCAGATTCCAGCAGATATAAAGATACTAATAAATATATAGAGGAACATGTTTTTGAGTAAGAGACTGAGGATAACAGAGCATCTGGCTTATCAAGTGTACAGATTAGGCTACATTGGCCAATGGGCAGGCTCAGTTCCTATGCTTGCTGGTGATTGTGACTGGTATGCACTTTCCAAAATCCAAATTAATATTTTTTAATCAGATACTTAGGGTATTGGATAATCTCATCAACTATATCAGAGCAGATGGCACAACAATGGGCTTTGGCTTAGTTGATGCCATTGATCAGGTCTTGACCACCTTTCAACCTTGTTATAAAATCTAATTGCTTTTGATTGTAGGAGATAAATATGGTGTAAGGGATCAAAAACACTGATGACACTGCTATTGATGTTAATGCTTTCAGTTGGGTTGACAAACCTTTAAATCAAGGTTTGCATCATTAGCTTTATCAATGTTTCAACTTTCTGAGCTTCTTGACCATAGCAAAATCAAATGTTGTCAACCAGAATGCTGGAACAGCAATGAATCCTCCAATGAAAAGAACATTTGATACCATCCCTAACTTTGCCAGCTTCCGTGAAGCCTCAGATACAATCTATAGGATGGAGTGAGATTTTCTACTAGTATTTATCACAATATTGAAAATTTTCAGGTTCTTTCTCCGGAACCTAGCAGCAATTGGACAATGTATGTGCTGCTCTCAATATATTGGATCCAGTTCTAAGGCCAACCATTTTCCAGACTTTGGTGGAACTAGCCAAATTTTCAAAATGACTGCAGAGCGTGTTCAGAATGTGCTGTCGGAGATCACACCCTCGGAGGTTCTTTCTACTGATGCAAGCTTACCCCTTATGTTCAACACTTGGCTTCGAAATCTGGTCAATACATACCCAGCAGGATGCACGTCTCGTGGCAATAATGCCTGGGATTATTATCGGATGAAGATGCAGGCCTTGGCCAATCGACTTGGAGTACCTGTTCCTACATGCTATCCCCTCTATACTTTGAACACAGTGAAGTTTCAGAGTCTTTATCACAAATCAAAAGCTAACAGAAATCCTCAGTATAATCCCTCAACATTTCCAACAGGAGTATTAACTTCCACTGGTATAATAATAATGTCTCCTGATCCCATTACAGCTACTTATTCCGGATGCACCAACTTCACCGCGGTGCAATGTTCCTGGCACACTTGGAAACTTGATTTACAATTCTGATAATGGTGTGGGCCAGCTTGATGCATATGGCAATCTGAAGACGATGGGCTCAGGGAACACTGTTTGTGGCTTTTATTATCACTTGAAGCTGGTCTGAATCGATTCCATCAGGTCCGCTATTCGATTGGTTCTGGGTCGTCAATCAGCGGAAGACACATGCAAGGCCTTGATCTGAGCCAGGACCCCAACTTTGGAGCCTCCTGCCCCAACTCATTCTTCTTTGACGACCTCCCGGGGTTCACACCCGAGTACGAGACTGCCGAGATCCAGTTTAGCTGCAACAATGGCCTTGGGCCGCAGGATGCCGTGATCAACATGGTGATGGATGGGCGGGCACTACCAGAGTGTATCCTGACAGCGGCGCCAAGCGACCCAACGCTCCCGCCTCAGTGGAAGCTGCTGTGCAGCACAACCTCGGATGAGGCCCTCAACTGCGCGCTGGACTACCTCCTCGATACATACCGCGTGCCCACGCTGACACAGCCTATCACCGGCCTCGGGTTCCAGATCATATGAACTCGGACGTGAGGAGTAACTGGACTACTCTCTCCAAACTCATTCTGCCTGTTTCTCGATATATATATGCTAGTGACAATGTCAAGACAATGTTATATACTGAGACACTTATAATTCTTTAAGTTGCTGCTCCACTGGCAAGCTATGAGCCTTCGAGGTAGCAGGTGACTCCTTCCTGTATTTTCTATAAGAAAGTTGCAGAAAATAGTTTTTTCTTCGAAATGTTGCAGAAAAGTAAAATTATCACAAAGTGTGTGGAAATTTATTACTTCCCCGGATGTCAACTTTCAAAACCAGATATTCAGAACTTTTTGACAGAATATCATATTCTGTCAAAAAGTATTTTAAGGGCTTTCTGGGACCCCCCTTACTATATTAAGTAATATGTTCCCATGATTATAGAAAAATTAATCAATGGCATCAAACATATCCATAAGACTTATATTTTCTATTAGAATGCCTCAGGCCGTAGATAGGTAGAATATGGTATTTTAACCTTAGTCACTAGTATGTCAGGCTTTGGGTTGTGCCATATAAAGCTCTCCTGCACTCAGAACAGAACAGAATTGTTGGGCCTGTAAGCAAAGTGGGTGCAGTTGAGTCAAGTCATATGAGCTCAGTAAGACAGTCCCGGTCCGGAACTTGAAGCAGAAGACAGGTTCTCCTGTTTTCACTCCTGTGAGTGATTTTTCCTGTTGGAACATCAAAGCAAATACTATTTCCAGGTTGTAAAGCAAGGTATCGCATCGTAAGTAGGTATCGCAAATAATCAGTAATTCCCACATCCTCAACTTCATAGTCGTCAACTCACCGCATGGGGCGGTACGAATGGGCGGGCGAGGGCGGGACGACGCCGCCGCGGCCAGTGCTCGCGCTGTAGCTCGTGCCAATACTCGTGCGCTGGCTGACGCTCGCGCTCCCGCTCTGCCTCCTCATCGCCGGCTCACGGCCGCCAGCGCGCGCGGCGTTCTGGAACGTGTTCTGCATCGTGAGCTCCGCCATCCCCAGCGAGCTCACCTCGCTCCCGCCGTCGCTTCCCGCCACTGCCATCCCCACTGGCCCGCCGCGGCCATAGCTAGACGGCCCGGCCTCATCCTCTTCGTCGTCATCTGGGTCCGTGTACGGGTTCGCCCGCCCGAGGTTGATGCTTCCCACGCTCGGGTGCGGGGTATGGTTGCCCTTCTTCCGCATCGCGCTTGGGGCAGAAGATGATGCGCGGGAGAGCGGGCGCGCCGGGCCGGGGGTGACGCCCACGCTCGCGCGGCGGCGGTGCGCCGAGGCGGTGCTTGACCCCGTCGAGCCCGCGACACCGGCGTAGAAGGACCCGGGCATTGGCGCGGGGACGGGCAGCGGCGCGGCCCCCGTGGACGGCGAGGCGCCAGCGTAAATCCCCGGCCGGGGGGTAGTCGAGCGGGCAAGGTCCGCGGCGCTCGGGATGAACGGTTGGGGCTGCGGGGCGACGGGCTGCTGCTGCTGCTGCTGGCCGAAGCCAAACTGTGGGCCCATGTTCCACGAGCCTGTCTGAGGCTGGGCCTCTGCCAGTGGTTGTTGTCGCTGCTGCTGGCCAAACCCAAACTGCGGACCCATCGACCAGCTCCCCGGGACCGCAGTTGGCGCGGGGTTGCCATTCCGGCTTGCGGGCCGTGCAGGCTCTACGTCGAACCCGCCAAAGCTCCCCTGGGTGCCCAACAGCGGCACCTGTCTCTGCTGTTGCGGCACGTGACCCTGGCGGCTCGCGGGCCGGCCCGACTCGACCGTGAACCCGCCCGGACCAAGAGACGAAGCAGGCGCGGGGGCATAGAGCGCGGCGCCCTGTCTGCTCGGTGGACGCGCGCCAACTCCCGCTGCGGGGAGGTTATTCCATGCGGACACAGCCGCGGGCAGCGGCGTCGGGTTCGGCTGGCCTCCTTGACTTGGTGCATATAACGCCGCACCCTGCCTACTCGGCGGCCTTGCTGGCTGGCCCCACGGGTCCGCCGGGGCTGTACTCGCCGGTGGAGCACGTGCGTATATTCCATTTCCCTGCCGGCTCGCAGGTCGCGCGGGCTCTGTCGTGAACATCGAGTTTGGTAGTGCCCCTCCGATACGCGGCGTCGGTGGAGCAGGCTGCTGTGGTGGTGGTCTGGAGGAGGACTCAACGGTGAACCCTCCCGCGGCGGAGGCAGTTCGCGCATGTCCAGGCCCGAATCGGGAGGACGTCGACGACGCCGCGCGTGGCGGGGGACCAGCGTGCTGGGGAGGAGGCGCCTGTCGACTAGGCGGACGCTCAACCGTGAACCCTGCACTGGGATTTCCCCAGCCTGCACTCGCTGGACCCCCGGCATACACCCCCCGGCCCGCCGCCGGAGACCGCCCCGGGCGGAATCACCTGTCCCATCACCGTCGTCATCTGCGCACCTCCTCCGCCCGGGCCAGCCCCAGGGACGAACCCGCTTGGGACACCCCTTGCGAACGCGGGCAGCGGGCTCGCGCCGGGCCCGAACCCGATGGGCGGGCGTATGTCGTCCGATTCGTCCGACGTGTCCGAGTCTGAGTCGTCTTCAGGGTGCTGGGGATGGTGCTGTGGGTGCGCAGGGGCGTAATGTTGTTGTTGGGGTTGTGCTTGAGCTTGTTGGCCGGTGGAGGTCGGCCGGGACTGTAAGCGATGTCAGCGTTGGGTGCAAGAGAAGCAAAGGACATGATTTAAAAACCAGAAGAGGAAGAAGCGGAATGTAAGAAAAGAAACGAGGCATAATAAAATGAAATAGCCGAGAAATGAAGGCGCAAAGAACACAGAACCAAAGGGAAAACAGCAACGGTGTATCACAGAAGCAACTCGCCTCCTCTAAACGATCGATAACAACACTCGCCAAAGCCTACGCCAACGAAAAAAAGCAACAAGAAAAAAGAAAGATCTTTCTGCGAAAAAAAGAACACGACCCAAACTTGCTGCAAACACAAGACGAATCCAAATCAATCAACTCACCGGCGGCACCACCGTAATATTCACCGTGCTCCCGCTCGAGGACCTTCTCAACAGCGTGTCCTGGCTCGGATTCCCGCCCTGGGTCATCATGCCGGGGACGTACGCGCCGGGCCGTGGTGGCGGTATCGCATACGGGCTGAGCGACGCTTGTTGTTGCTGTTGCGGTGGAGGGACGACCGGCGCGGGGATCGGGATCGCAGGCTCGGGGACAGGCATCTCCGCCCAGTGTTGCTGTTGCGGCTCTTGTACTTGCACCTGCATCTAGTTAGTTAACCTCCATTAATAATAATAAGGAAACACACCTGGGGCACAACCACCTCGCTGCTCCGTCTCCACTGCTCCATCTCGCCGCCTTGCGGGTCCGCATACGGCGACGCCCACGTGCTCCCCGCCGCGCTCGGCGAGCGGCTGCTCCCCTCATGCGCGGTCTCCATGATCACGCTCAGCTCCCGCTCTCGGCCCGGCGCGGGGAACGACGTCAAGTTCAGGTTGCGCAGGCTCGCGGACACGCTCGAGGCCACGCTCGTCGGCGTGCGGTTGCGCTCCTCCGCCACCGGAACTGTTGTCGCCGGTATCGTGATCGGGACCGGCATCGGGACGGAGGACCGGTGCGGCGGAGGCCGCATGGGCACGTGCACCTGCGAGCTGGTCACGCTCGTGTCGTCCTCGTAGTACGCCCAGCCGAGCGGGGGCTGCGGCTGCATCGGCGGCGGCGGCGGGGGGCACCTGTGGCATCAGCGCGGTCACGGGCATCGCGCGGGGCGTGCCGAGGCCGAGCGAGTCGAGCGAGGTGAGCACGGAGCCGGCTGCGCTGTGGCGGGTGCCGGCGGAGCGGAGGGAGTAGGAGGACGGGTTGATCGGGCCGGCGGCGGAGCGCATGGAGGCTGCGCGGCCGACAGCGGGTGAGTCAGCGACGATGGAGACACGCCGGAGACTTGTGGCACGGGTTCTTTGGGTGGGATCGGGATCAGAGTTTGGGTTGGGGGTTGATACGCTGCGAGAGCGTTCAAGTGGCTGGGTGCGAAGAGATGAACGACGGATGGGTTGTTGTTGTGGCACGATTTCTTCTGGTTGTTCCTCTTCTTCTTCAACTTGGGCTGGTGGTGTTGGCGCTGGTGCTGGTGCTGGTGGCGGCGGTGGTGGTGGAGGAGCCTCAATCTGTCTTCTCCTCGCTGCCTCCTCCTGTTCCGCCCTTTTCCTCTGCTCCTCCCTCTCTTTAGCGACCCTTCTCTTTTCCCTCTCCTTCTCTACTTTCGCCATCGCCACGACCCGGCCATGCCCAAACCCCGTCTCGTACCCCTCCTTGCGTCCCTGCTCCTTCGCGACGAGTGCCAAATTCTCCGCATGCAGGCGTCTTGCAACCTTCTTCGCGTGACTCGCCGCCCTTTCCGCGTCGTCACGCTGCGCCTCGAGGCCCTTGACGACGTCGCGCGCGCGCTCGATTTCGAGCTCTGCCTGCCGCATCTGCAGCTCCAGCAGGCTCAGCTGCGCCCGCGCGTCCGCTGTCTGCTGTGTCAGCACAGTCGATGCCCTCAGGCTCGAGGCGGTCCGAGACAGCCGGTGTCGGCGGTTGTCGGGGATGGTGAGCGCCGTCTCGGGCTCGGGCATCGCCATCATGGTCTCCTCCTCCTCTTGTACTTGCTTTTGTTTTTGCTTCTCTTTCACGGGCGGGGACCTTGCCCTGGGCTGCTGGTGCTGCTGTTGGAACCCATCCATCTGCGCTGCCTTGAACGCCGCCATCCCTCTATCGCCATGCTGCAGCGCCGCGAACCGCCGGTCCTGCGCGGCCTTGAACTCTTCAAAGCTCGCACTGTCCTTGAGTGAGTACACATAAGCAGAAGATGAAAGGCCACGCAACTCGTCCATGCTCGTCACCGACGACGACACCGTCGTCCTTGTCGCGTTCCGCTGCGGGTGGCCCATCGGGTGGTGTGTCCGCGTGTGCGTGCGGGTCGCCATCCGCTGCTCGTATTCCTCGTGGTAGTCGTTCTGCTCGTGGTCAAGTCGTGCGCGGAGGGAGGAAGGGCGGGGGGGTGGCACTGCGGAGAATGGAAGGAGAAGGAGAGAAGGCGATTGCCTAATCCGGCACGAAAATGGTTGATCGTGCCGTAACGTGATTCTTGTCACTCCGGCTCGTCTTCTTCTTCTTCCTTGCTTTCTTCGACTCGAATCCTTGCGCGGGACTGCCCGTGGCTGACGCTGCCCACGAGCTGGAGCCGTGCGTGCACGTGCTCGGGGGCGCTTGACGTGCGCGCCGGCCACCTTCTCAGCGGCTCCTCCTCCCACCGCCCAACCGCACGCCGCGTCTCCTCACACCGAGTCGGGCGACAAGACTAGTCGCCGGATCGACGCACCTGAATATCCTAGGATGCGGCCAACCGGGCTCGGTGGGCCCGAGAGCCTGAATAGACTTCGAATTCTTGACCCCCTGCCCATTGCCATTGTCCACCGGCGCGCACGTCAGCCGGCGACTCTCAGGACGCCGGCCGGTTAACCTTCTCCCCTGCGTCCAGGCCCGTGTTTGTTTTTTCGGATTCTGGCCCCAACGCGCGCGTGGCGTCCCTCAAATTCCCCCCGCTCAAGCTGGCCCGGGCCGTCGTCATTTGGGAGCCCAGCGTGCCCGACGCGGTCTGCCCGCCCCGGCCCACTCTCCTCCCGTCCGTGAACGCACATCCGCGTCGTCTTGGGTTTGTGTGTTGCGAATCGGGGCCATGCTGGCGCCTGTCGCCACGGAACGCGCTGCCCGAATGGGGCAGAAATCAAGCTGTGTTGCTTACCGGCACGGAAAGCACCTGGCCCGGATTGGCGCGCGGGATGTGTGCGCAATTCAATGCTCCCAATACCGACAGCAGATCGTTCAATTCAGAACGCCAGCGCCGCCTGGGGGACGCAGAATCTATAAAAAGGCCCCGCTTGCATGGAGGCTACCCATAATTACTAGCACTATGCGTCTCCCGATGTGGGCTGTGTGGTTCTTGGCCTCGGCCTCGCTGCCGTCTGCTGTGTTTGGCGCGGGGTGTGCGGGTGTCAGCGGGGGTGCCGCCGCGAGCGGTACTTATGTTGCTTTCTGGCCCCCGTCTTCATGCTCACAGGCCGCAGATCCCTTTTGGATGAACACCGCGAGCCTCACAGCGCAGAGCAAGAGCGCGTACAAGGCAGGCTACAAGGTTTTCCGCAACGTCAAGACAGACTACCACGCCGTCGGCGACGGCATCGCAGGTGCGCCGGCGTTCTATTTATCTTGAGAGGATATAATACTATGCGCCGTAGATGACACTGTCGCCATTAACAACGCAATCAGCGGTGGGTCATCACTTGTGCTCCTATTTCTCGCAGTTGCTGACGGTCGGCGTTTTTTTCCAGACGGCGGCCGCTGCGGCCAAGGATGCGCGTCCTCGACGGCATGCCATGATCTTCCTTATAAATCTGTCTTTCTCAATTTTCTTCTCTGCAGCTCACCCCCGCGATTATATTCTTCCCTCCCGGAAAGGTGCGTCCACTTCCCGCTTGCTGACACGACGCGAAGCTGAACCCAACCGAGTACCGCGTCACTGCGCCGATCATTCCGTTTTACTACACCACACTGTGCGTCGCTCTGCTCCCCATCTAACTAGCCTCCTAACCATCTCCTCAGCGTCGGCGACTACAACAACAAGCCGACACTCGTCGCCGACGCCAACTTCGTGGGCATCGCCGTCATCGGTACGATATCATCCTCAGTCTCATCACCGCCGCAGGCTGACGCTGTTGGCACAGACGGCGACCCTTATATCCCCGGGGCCTCCAATCCGGACGGCAGCGGCGTCAACTGGTGGACGAACCAGAACGTGCGCAGTGCACAGAGCCCCCCAGTTTTTTACTTACCGTGTGCAGAACTTCTTCCGCTCCATCCGCAACTTCGTCATCGACGTCCGCGCAATGCCGCCCAGCGCCTTCGGCACGGGCATCCACTGGCAGGTCGGCCAGGTCAGGCAATTTCCACGCTTTGCTTTGCGTTGTGTTGAAATTGAAACGACGCGCAGGCGACGTCGCTGAACAACATCGACTTCAAGATGTCCGCCGCCTCGGGGACCAAGCACCAAGGGCGAGTGTCTCCGGTCGTTTTTCTGCGGGGTAGCACTCAACAGCCTGCCAAATAGAATATTCATGGAGAACGGGTCCGGCGGATTTATGTCTGATCTAACCTTCGACGGGTGCGTTGAGTGCTTGCCTATTATGTATTTGCTCATCATAATCCACAGCGGCGCCTTCGGGATGTGGATCTCGAACCAGCAGTTCACCATCCGCAATGTCAAGATCACCAATGCCGTCTCTGCTGTGTACCAGCTCTGGAACTGGGGATTTACCTGGCAGAACATCCAGATCTCGTGAGTCGTTATGGGCCGTAAGTTCCATTCAACGTGGTATACTTATCTTTTTTTTAGCAACTGCCAAGTCGGGTTCGACCTCAGCACGGGTGGCCTGACGCTCGAGACGCAGAGCGCAGGCGGGGTGCTCATCGTCGACTCGAAGATATCCTCGACCGGTATCGGCATCCGTGTAAGCCGGATTATATATTCCTTGGCAGCTCGAACTGATCTGGGACACAAGATGTCGAGCAGCCAGCCGGCGAAGCTCGGCGGCTCGGTCATCCTCGACAACGTCGCGTTTACCGGGATCACGACGGCGAACATCCAGGACTCCAGCGGCACCGTCGTGGCCGCCAACGCCGGCGTCGGGCTCGAGTGGTTCCAGGGAAACGTTTACCTGGGTACGCTTGTTTTCCTTTTGAACCGCTCCGGAGCCCCGCCGAGACTTTCTGTGCAGGGAATACTAAGCGCTACTTGCGCGGATCGTACACCCCGGCGGGCTCGCGTCCGCAGATGCTTACGGTCGGGTCTGGGACGTATTTCTCGCGCTCCCGCCCCCAATATCAGTCGTATTCCCCAAGCCGTGCGTTGATCTCTCTCTCTCGACTCGTGCAATCTTATCCTCGACGCACTACTGATAGAATTCCGCACGCTGATGACGAGTGGTGTCGGCGCAAAGGGCGACGGTGTCACGGACGACACTGCCGCAATCAACAGCTTCATCGCCCAAGTCTGTTCCCCTCCCTGAAACGTAATGCTGTGACACTGAATACCAGCCACAGAACTCGGGTTGTGCGATTCTCAGTAAGATCAGAGTTGAAATTTGCTACGCCGGCGCGAGGCTAACGCGGATTTTAGTTATCGAGACGGGAACGTACCTCGTATCGGACACGATCTTCGTCCCATCGGGCACGCAGCTCGTCGGCGTGCTGTACTCGGTCATCATAGGCACAGGAAGGAACTTTGCCGACCAGTGACGAGCGCGGGATGCGTGCACCGTGGGAAACACGCAGAAGCGCCCCACAGGGCAACTTTCAAAAGCCCAGTTGCGGGCTGACGCTGATTCGAACGGGCGTAGAGCCGGACCGAGTCAGGCCGGCGCGGGCATCAGAACCGGAGGTGGTGGGGCCTTGCCGGTGGTTACCGGAGCTCCAGAACTGCAGGAAGAGGACGGAATAGCGTCCCCAACAGGTGTTTAGCACGTCAACAAGTGCACGCGAAGCGCAACAGCGACGCCGAGCAAGCGTGTGACCCGATGTGACGAAGGGCTGGCCACCAGGCAGCTAGCGGGAGGCAGCAGTGGTGCAGGCGCAGAGGAGCGCTCAAATGCGGGGGAAGATAGTGCCAACTCCGGGATCGGCATCACGATCGGGCACCGGAGATCGAGAATCTAAGGCGGTGAAGCAGTCGCCGACAGCCGCCGGACGTCAAGAACGTGTCCCGCAGCATGAACAAAGCCATGGGAACGATATAGATGTGGTGTGGGCGCCATATATGTGGTATAGGCACAACATTGCAGCCCACAACGCGTTAGACACGCGTCGCGGAGCAGGAGAGTGGGACCGGGCAGGCCGGATCGGCGGTCACATGACCGAATCGCGGGGCTACGCCGCAGGCCGAAGACGGGGGCCGATCAAGGAGTTCGCACCGGCGGTGCTTCCGCCTCACCCGACACATCAAGGAGGCCTCCTTGGGACAGCCAGGATGCGTCAAGGGGTCTGGAATGGAGGGAGTTGCGTCAAGGAGGCCGAGTGCGGAGGCCGATCACGGGGAGCGTGCCAAGGGGAATCAAGGGGACGCCCGATTGTCGGGGCCACCCCCGATGGTCTGGGGAAGCTGACGTAATGCGGGGTCGTGTGGGGTATAAATTAGCGCTGTCTTGTAGCTATAGAGCAGAAGAGAGTTGACCCCGGACTGAAGCGGGGTGTGTGTCCGTTATCGCCGTTCTTGATCGCCGTCGCCGTTATCGTTATCGAACCTCTGCTGTTGTTATTGGAAGTCTCCGTCGTTGTCTCTGCTTTGTTTCGCCAAACGTCTTTGAACCCCGAATCCCTCAATTTCCAAGAAGATCGTCCCAACTTCTGAACTGGTGTCGCTTATGTAAGAGTGGTTAGATGTGGATACCACTGATCTTGTATGCACTTCCCTTCTGGGAACGTCGCCTTTCCTGGATTGTGCGACCCCTTTTGGAGCTGCAAGCATGGCAGCTGTTGCTCTTGATGCAGTTGGTGGTGGTGGCTATGTTATTAGGAGGAAGAAAAGCAACAAAAACAACAGAAAACATAAAACCTTCAAACAAATCGGATGTGACTGTGACTGTGACCATTGCCATTTTGGGTTTTAGTTCTGGTTTTGGGTTTTGGTTAGGTTTCCTTTGGGTTAGTTGTTGGGGAGTACAGGTCACACCTCAAGAGACATGTTCAAGATGTCACACCTGTTATCATGCTCAGCTCAACCTTTACCTGGCCCTCTCACATCATCACCTCCTCCTCTTTCTCTTCATCTTCTACTTTTCACCATTGAAACGCTTGGAATGGTGAACACACACAGACACTAAAAGAGAAACACAAAACCACACAAAACCCAACTCCAACACAAACACAAACAAACAAACACACACAACACAACACACGACCTATTCGGGACCTAAACCACCTATCCGAGCTTCGGATCAGTCGGATCAATCGGATCACGTCGGAGTTTGATTTGGGGTAGTTTGGTTTTTCACAAGCGCGCAAGTTCGGGGGTTCCTACTAAAGTATATAGCAGTTGCAATTCAGACAACAATTTCGAGTCGATTATGTAATTGGGCGCAATGCAGGCGATTAGATAATCTTGAACTTTGAGGCACGGGATCGAACACGGTCACAAGACTTGAAGCGGAACGGAGGGGACGACGGCGGAACAATACAACGGCGGAGACGGACTTAACGGACCAGACGGCGATAACGGAGACGATCGTAGACAACGGCGATAACGGAGACAACGTAACGGAACCAAAACACAACCCCGCGAGGGCCCGGGGCAAGCCAAACTTCACTACTGTACTACTACAATGCATGCCCAATTTATATCTCTTAGGTGCCCAGCATTTGTAAGCTCCAGACCATCGGGGGTGGCTCCGACAATCGGGCACCTCCTGAATTTATCCCCTTGATCCTCCTTGGTACGCTCCCCGAGACGCGACCCCGTGATCGGCCCCCGCGTTCGGCCTGCGCAGCCTCTTCTCCATTTTACCCCAGAATGGAGCCCCTTGACGCGTCTCCTTGACGCGCCAACGCCCATTCCTACCTCCTTGACACACTGCTCTCCATTTCAGGGGCTTAATGCTCCCCTTGAAGCACCCAATCGTCCCAAGGGGACCTCCTTGAAGCGCTGAGTTGAGGCGGAAGCACCGCCGGCCCGGCCCCTTGATCGGCCTCCGTGATCGGCCTACGCCGCAGCGCCGTCGCTCGGTCACATGTCCACCGACGCGCGCTCTTGTCGCGCTCGTTCCCGCCATCTGACGCGCGTCATACGCGTCCTTATCCTCCACACGGGTGCTCCACACCCACCCTTCCATCCCCGCTGTCTTGCGCATTGACAGCACCGCCCATGCGCTGGCAGTTCCAGCGCCTCCATCAGTCAGCGGCGAACGCGTTCGCCCCGGCCTAGGGTTCCCCGCGCTCCACCGGTCGTTCTCGCGCCGGTTCGCACCGCATCTCCGGGTCACGCGCCGCTAACGCGGTGTCGTGCTTCCAAAAGATGCCCCTCGTGGGCATCTGGGCTGATTCCAATGGCGCGCGAATCACGCGCTCTTCATCTCCCCCCAAAATAAATCTTGAGTGTCCTCACTCAATTTAAAAGGTGCGCTTCTTTGACCATCTTTCTTTTAGAAATTCTGATTGATGTGATTTGACTTTGCTGCGCCGTCGCCAGCTGGCATTTATAGGCGGCCTCTTGCTGGCCTTGACTTTCAGCCCCCCACTTTCAGCTTGCTTTCTTGCTCGTTCCCGCCGAATGCTAATGGTGTATCCCACTTATTTCGACTCCACGTTCTTCGTCTCCGACCCCTCGTCCTTCTGCGACAGCCCGGTCTATTCTTCAGCTGTAGATGCTCAAGTCCCGGCGACCTCCGTTCCTCTGGAGATGTCGACCGGCCCCAACGGCGAGCGAGTCTTCCCGCGCGTTCACGAACATGCTCGCGCTGCCAACACACCCGACGTCTATCGCGCCATCCATTCGCGCGGCACGGTACGTATTTGTTGCCACTTTCTTCATCTTCTTTGCTAACTTGTGTCTTCAGGCGCTAGCCAAGTGCGCATACTGCGTCGCTAACAACCTGCCTTGCCGCTTCCGCTCCAACGGCATTCCCTGCGCGAACTGCGTCTTTGGATGCAAGGACGACTGCTCTTTCGTCAACGCCGATCTATTCCTACTCTCACTTCAAGAATGGCGCCACGAGGAAGTAGTTGGGCTCTGGACTGAGCTGGAGAATCAGGTCTCAGACGCTGACCAACTCGGTACGTCTTCTTTTCATCTTCGCGGCCTGATCTAAATTTTCTCCAGCAATTTGTCGGAAATATGCTCTGGATTTGGTCGAGCAGACTGTTCAAGGCGCGATCGCACTGTTCGAGGTGCGAATTTTTCACTGTTCATTTCGTTCCAGCTAACTCTTCTGTAGTTCCTTTCCTCTTTGCTCTCGTCGTTCGGCAACGAAGGTTACACAGATCTCGCGTCATTGTCGAGCGAAATCCGATCACCTGGCCCGCGTCATCTGCCTTGCTTTGGACTCCCGTTTCGAATCTTAACCGCGCCCGTTGTCGATACTTGCTGCTCATTGCTTACATTTTTGTTTTGTACTTAATTTATGTCGAATGTTAGATTGTTGTTTTGGCTCGATTTGAACCCAGTGCGTCCGAGTAAGGCCGAATAGGCCGACATCAACCGTTGGTCTTCTTGACCATGCGCCGGCCCGTGTCCGGTCTGGCATTTGCCCAATTCGTAAGTCTTCTGTGCCGTTTAAGCTTTTGACGTCCGGTTGACAGCTCCGCCGGTTCTTGAAGATCACCAGTGGGGGGTCTTCACATATACAGAGCGGTGGGTCGTCCCTCTGTTGCTTCCTTCCCTCATGCCTTTCTGTCTGCCCTTGTGGTCGCGCCCGGCGCCTCCGGCCGTCACGCCATTCACAACGCGCGCTCCACCAAGCGACCGGTCGTTGCGCCGCCCTACGCAGCACGCCGACCCAACCATCGCCTCCTCGCACCTCACAACGTGGTCTACGACGTCTGCGTCGTCTTCGCCGACCTCTAAAGCGCGCGTTCGAGCGCCGCCGCTGCCTCCACTCCATGTCAACGCTCCTGCCAGCTCTAGCGCGGTGTCCTCGCCGCTGGTCTCTCCGGGCGTTCGCATTCCATCCAGCTGGCTAGCCGCGTCGCCTACGCGGTCTTCGGTCCTACTGCCGCCATATACGCCGGCCGCCGACCCTCTCGAGTCCCCGGTCGACTTCCTCTTCCCTCCAACCTCCTTCCCCTTCGAACTCGACTACCGCGGCGATATAATGCTGCCCAAAGTCTCGGACCACAGCGACCTTGCGACACTAGGCGATGTCCAGCTGGCCCTGTCATTCTGTCCGCCGGTGTGTTGCACACTATTTCTGTTCGTTTAATTCTTGACTCCTTGGTTAGAAGTTCGCGACTTGCGCCAACTGCGCGCGCCTAGGTGTCCGCTGCATGCGGTATGGTGTTGGCGATGCCTGTGCCTTCTGCCTCCTCACACCAGGCGAACCCTGCTGCTTCACAACTCCTACCCGCTTGCTCGAACTCATGGCTGAGTTCCGTCACTCTGAACTGGTAGCTTTCCAGACCACCCTTTCTTGTGCTGTTGTCTCTGGCAACTTATCTCTTCCTGAAGCTGGTAAGCCTTATTTTTGCATTTGTTTCTATGTTCTTTTGCTGAGCTCTGTTACAGTCCAGAGTTGGCGGTCCAGGATTTGCGC